CGCTTTATCACAACCAAGTTCGTAGGTCGTCTCAAAGCGGTTCACAATTTATTTTCCGTGGTTATAGGGCCTTTGCAACCAGCCAACATCTTTCTCAACTCCCTGGGGAGCATACAGCTGGTGCTGCCATTTCGGCGTTCACAAATAGCATTCAACAATTCTAGCACTTCCCAACCACGTACTCATTTACAGCTAAGTAGACTGGAACAAGCGGAGTAAAGGATCTTGCTCAAAGTAACAACACAAAGTCGTGCCGTGACTCAAACTCGCAATCCTTCGGTCATGAGCCCGGCGTCCTACCACTAGAATACCGTGCCTCATTAAAAACAAATATTGTAAAAAAAATCCCTTTAATCTCTTATCATGTGAGGTCTTCAACGTTGGAAGTGTGTGTGGCTTGTCTATCGTCAACATGTGACGTCATTCTTATTATCACAGTGGGTGTTATATCATGAGTTGATCAAGAAAATATGAAAAAATATAGATGCAGAAAGCCACAGAGAGAGATATTTGACTGGATCATATGGCCATTTAATCCATTTAGGCTCAAAAGAATGAGATATCCATATCTACCCTGTTCTGAAATATGAATGTAGAACACGGAAAAAGAGAACACTGCATATAAAACCTTTTATAGCGTTGCAATTTACGATTTGTAATTTATAATCCCAGCTACAGGACTATGGCCAATCTCGAGGGCTACTAGTCCAGCGGTACCGTCAAACATGTTACGTAATATAATCACAAGAAAACCAAAACAAAAATGGCATGGGCGTATTCAAAAAGCTCTTCTATCAACACAACCCCTACAGGCACCAAAACCCTTGAAAAAGTACAAGGAAAATAAGACCATGTGTTGCGGAAGGGAAAGCGTATTTTGCCTCTTTAACAAAACCATGTCTATGTCTATACCTATGTTAAATCAGAGAAATGTCATCTCCTTGTTGTGAAAACCGGGGTTGTGACAAGCATTTTAGCAAATACAACGTATGGAAACAATTCTTGTAACAAAATCAAACAGGAGAGAAATTGATTATCTGTTCTCGTATCACTAATAGGTCGTTTATATCGTGATATACTCGATAAATGTAATTAGAATCAGTTATCAGGTACGTGCATTATCTTTATCGCCATAATATCATAAGGTGGTATCAGATGATTTCATTCCGTATCTTTGATAAAACATTAATTTATATCATGGTATATGGCATAGCAACACGTGTATACGCCAATATGTTTAATAACCATTTGTATGTCGACTTGATGTACTGTTTGATGCAAATCTAAATAAGGTCTCTTTGGTAAAATGGAACTCAATCTCCTGATATCTAAAAGTTGAGTACTTGGACGTTACATGCCTGCCTCAGACTAGCTGTTCCGTTCACAAATAACAAAAGAGCAATCATATTTACTTAACAAGACCAGAGAACAGCTATTGTTATCCCTCGTACAGACCACGGACTTAATGCACAGCATTGTCGGCTTAATGGTATTGTCGTGAAATTTATATAGGTCTCGCTAGAAATACAACAACAGAACAGAACGTGGGGGTTAATGAATTAAAACTTAACCTTGAATTAAGTAATGCTGTGTACTAAATTTTGTTTTGTCGGAAGTAAAATGTCGCTTTAGTCATTTGACGACGGAGAGTCGTCAAAAGTCATTTTTGGGAAAATTGGGTCAGGTTGACAAAACAATCATCATTTTGAATATAATGTCTTTTGTAAAAAAAATCAATAACTGATATCACATAAAGCAGTATTGTTTTGACACTCCTTTTCAAAGCATGTCAATGATAATATTACAATAGAGAATACACACCAACATTATAATGTTGTACAGTCACGCCATGAAAAATATTCGTAAATTTACTTAAATCATAAATGTAAAGCGAAACGTATTTCCGTCCACCATGTTTCCGCCCACCATGTTTTCGGCCTCTGTTATCCTAAAATAATTTCGTCCATTATTATATTCGCCTAAATACTTAACCAGTATCGCTTACCTTAAGTTCATCTCTCTTTATATGTATGTAATATGTTTCGCCCCTTTTGCTCTATGGAGAACACAGGGGAGACAATTTCCGTTTGTATACTATAATCCTCAATAGACACACATAAACGATATAGTCATATTTTTTGGTTAACTATCCTATCCTTGATGCTGCACGAAACCAATATCCATGAGAAATACCAAGTAAGGAGCATATATATAAAAATGTAGTAGGTAAGAATGACAAACAAAGTAAGCATCCACTTCACCCTTCGTCAATTCGTTAATTTAAGACTTAATTATCGTTTTGAGGCTACACAATAACATACACGACCTTGTGCCAAAGACCGACCCTAAAGAAACCACACGTATAAAGCATTAAGATGGAAAATTACGGTAAGATAAATACGTGTATAACACTTACATGTACAAAGTAATTCCATGGAGAAGATATCGCAACTATCAGATCCAGATCTTACTCAGTTGTTCGATGTATATTAACAGGTACCCCGTACACAACATGTCAGTGACAACAGCTCTCTCGTGAATCTCTGTGCTGGTGTATACACCGGGTGTATGTATCGAACTTGTAAACTCTCAATGTTAAAAGACTCCGAGTAGATGCCCACCAGATAAACCTTGACATTTAAATGAGTAAATTAGCAAAGCTTTGAATACAGGTATGTTCCTTCGTGTACCTACGTCTACGTGTGCTGTTCTCCCCATTGTTAAGAATGGTTGATTTTCTCCATAAACCCCTTTGTGTAACCACATTTCCATTATGAGGTGTTGTTACTGACTTAGGGCACTTACCTAGCATGTTGCACAATGAAAACGCTAATCCAGTGTGATAAGACAGGAGACGTTAGAGCGGATAATTGTGTATTATTGCGTTGCAAGGGGTACCTGTCGCTTTCATCGATACATATGACCTCAGTGACATTGTTTAATGTTGAAAAGACAAACAGGTAGTTAATATACCCTCAGAATTGCATATCACAAATAGAAATATATAGACATGATAGCATTAGTGCTGTTTATCTTACACAATCCCCAACATCATAGAGCAATACTACTTAAAATGTCACAGCTAATACAGGATTCGAACCCTGGACCTTCGAACTCTAGACGTGCGCTCAACCAACTCAGTTATCTGGTTATCGGCGATTGTCTTACATGTTACCAACTTAATAACATTTCTAAGTTAAGGACATGATTACTGACTTTTATTTTATTTTTCTGCATCTTTGTTCATAAAATTTCATGACGTTATTAAGTCTTAAAATTCAGGTCATCAAAAGTTTCTTAAAAAAACCACCCAACTTAAATAAAACCTTTCTATAAAATAATGATAGTAATGGGGACTGAGCACAAATAAAACGTAATGCGTTATGAGGGTTTTAATAGTAATCCTTGAAAATGAAAATTCAGCCAAACTAAATAAAACACATATTTAACGATATGGTTATACTTTTCATTGTTCTCAAATATAGCATTGAGCTAGGCCGACCTAATAGTAATCATCCTGAGATATGCCATGTGCTCATATGTGTCAATACGCAAGACATGTGTCAGTGAGACTGTCTTTAAGACTTTAAATTATGATCACACTATGGGATAAACAGACTACCTTTATTTAAAGGTATCAAACTGAGTCAAATTACATTTGCCCCATTTGACATACAGAGAAAGTTTTACAAATATTCGACAAAGGAAGGTCACATTTCATTCCTTCGAGTACCAAGGAGTGGGTCATTTAAAACAGATTTATATTGGTTGAATTCAGTAATATCGTGTAAGTCATGACCTTGTCATGAAGTTATGATAAATAAAGTATGGTTAGATTATGAGGACCGAGTAGAAATAATCATTTTTGCGTTATGAGGGCTTAATGGCAATCCTTGAAAATGAAAATGAAGATAGTTTCCCGTATGGCTAACAACAAATCAAATTATAGATATACCAATACAATTCTTTCAATATACAGAACAAATAATATATAAAAAAAACTTGTTTTGTGCTCAAAACTGGAAAAAGAAATCCATTAGACTCCAACACGGTTTATTTCAATATATTTAGATAAAAAAAATAGTGTATGGAATATTTAATCGTGTCGAACTTTAAAAATAATTCCTAAATATTCAATTTTTAAATGCTTTGAGTAATTCACATATTAATCATACCATGAACCGGAATCATACACGGCCGATGGGCAAGTGAAACAGGAGTTGCCAATGCATCTCCTTTCGCTTAGGTATTTCACAAAAAAAAATCATACAAATATTAAGTATATGTGAATAAAAACATACATCTCTAGCAATAATCCTGTCAGGAAATTGTCATTCAATCAATGACTTCGTGATTCATGCAACGGTACAAGGAAATTATAACCTGACGAAAAAGATTACGATTGCTTCCGAGGAACTTTTTATATAGGCATAGTAAAAAATGAACCCTTCACATGATATTCATTTACAAAAAACATATGCATATTAAATCATTTGATTTATGAATATATGAATAATAAATAACGTGTACTTTCATTGAAACGGGACGTTATGTCTGCTATGTCAAATGTTCGACCATGAGGAGTGTTTACGTATTCAATATTACTTTCGTGGTATTTTTGTTATGTACAAAGAGGGAACCGACATAGTGATAATGAAACTCTCGTCCAATATTAACGTATATAATCCATATCCAGAAGATACATACCAAAACAGTTGGATTAACGAATGTATGAATAATTAATCACTTGTAATTTTCATAAAAGATATTAATGAGAACCTTTTATAATGAATGAATGAATGAATGAACAAAAATATCGTATGGCTATTTATGTTAATTTAGTAGTACTTCTGAATGAATGTGACGTATATGTAATATAAACATCCAATGAAATGGTTCATCGTAAGCTTTTTCACATGATCCTAATATATATAAAAGTATCTTTTGAATCTTTAAAGTTAACAAAACGGCATTTACACTAGCATACAAATAATGCTTACCTTTAGTTCGGCAGAGAGCGTTAAGACTCGTTGCTGTTTGGGAGAGCAGCGAACGAGTTTTTAAATGGTCACTTCATAGACTAAACTATAAGTATGAGGCTCACACCTGCAAAAACACATATCGATATGTATACATTTAAATTATCGTGCGGTATTCTGTACACAAAATAGCCCAGTACTGTTTAATAGTATACGGCAGAGGAACAGTACAAAAGGAAGGCATCCGGCAGAACAAATATGGCATCAAGTATACACACATCCGTGTAAATATGTTAATGTAGATAACATACAGCTGGAGGCCATTCAAGTATTCTGAAATTTAATATATCTTTTAAAGGACAAGATGGAATAATTTTACTGAAGGACAAATGAAGGATTGTGAACCACATATTGCCAGACACATTGGTTACAATAAAAGCAGATTGGCATCTAATTTGTAATCTCAAGCACGAATATATATGAGGAGAGTACCAAACAAAATATCACGTACAGAGAAGAAAGGGTGAATATTCTCTCAGATTTTGTTTAAGCCTACAGCCCAATAGGTGATAATAAACAAGTCTTTTTATCAAATAAACAAGACAGCATAACGCAGTGTAATGAGAAGTCTGATTTTAACTAGATTGCCCAGCATTGGACAGGGAAGATATTAAAACAAATTATACGAGAATATCGAAGTGTCAACAAAACCATTATTCGAACTCAAAATCGATCACAACAAGGGCAAAATATGAACAAAAGAAATATTAACATGGAGACTCTTGAAAAAGTATAGGGAAAATAAGACCAGGTGTTCCGGGAGGGTAAACGTCGTCCGAATACACCAGCTCATTCACCAACGATGTATTAATGGTAAACATGGCTTTACTCTCGGCTGACAGTGAAATTCCAGGGTTGAAAATAAGGTCGTAAATTATCTTCAGTGTAATTCAATGCCGTCCTGATAGAATACCCTGTTTACTGATAAGGATAATGTTTCTGCCAACCGTTAACAGTTAAATTAAAAAAGGTTACATAAGATTCATTTTAAGTTCAAATGAATCGCATTAAAGTGGTCGGGTATGCAAAGTTCACTACAACGTCACTAGATGACGACCTAGAAAAGGATTGGTAGGAAGGCGTAATGGGACGACATGAATTAATATAGGAAACATATACTACAGCGTCAACACAAACAGACAATATATAACACAGCGTCAACACAAACAGACAATATATACCACAGCGTCAACACAAACAGACAATACATCCCACAGCGTCAACTCAAACAGACAATATATACCACAGCGTCAACACACAAGTACAAAATATACCACAGCGTCAACACAAACAGACAATACATACCACAGCGTCAACACAAAAAGACAATATATACCACAGCGTCAACAGGATTGGTAGGAAGGCGTAATGGGACGACATGAATTAATATAGGAAACATATACTACAGCGTCAACACAAACAGACAATATATAACACAGCGTAAACACAAACAGACAATATATACCACAGCGTCAACACAAACATACAATATATACCACAGCGTCAACACACAAGTACAAAATATACCACAGCGTCAACACAAACAGACAATACATACCACAGCGTCAACACAAAAAGACAATATATACCACAGCGTCAACAGGATTGGTAGGAAGGCGTAATGGGACGACATGAATTAATATAGGAAACATATACTACAGCGTCAACACAAACAGACAATATATACCACAACGACAACACAAAAAGACAAAATATACCACAGCGCCAACAAAAAAAGACAAAATATACCACAGCGTCAACACAAACAGACAATACATACCACAGCGTCAACACAAACAGACAATATATACCACAGCGTCAACACAAACAGACAATAAATAACACAGCGTCAACACAACCAGACAATATATACCCCACCGTCAACACAAACAGACGATATATACCACAACGTCAACACAACAAGACAAAATAGACCACAGCGCCAACAGAAACAGACAATATATCCACAACGTCAACACAAAAAGACAAAATATACCACAGCGCCAACAAACAAGTACAAAATATACCACAGCGTCAATACAAAAATACAATATATACCACAGCGTCAACACAAAAGTACCAAATATACCACAGCGTCAACACACAAGTACAAAATATGCCACAGCGTCAACAGAAAAATACAATATAAACCACAGAGTCAACACAAAAAGTCAATATATACCACACCGTCAACACAAAAAGACCATATATACCACAGCGTCAACACACAAGTACAATATATACCACAGCGTCAACACACAAGTACAAAATATACCACAGCGTCAACACACAAGTACAAAATATACCACAGCGTCAACACAAAAAGTCAACATATACCACACCGTCAACACACAAGTACAAAATATACCACAGCGTCAACACAAAAAGTCATCATATACCACACCGTCAACACACAAGTACAAAATATACCACAGCGTCAACACAAAAAGACAATATATACCACAGCGTCAACACAAACAGACAATATATACCACAGCGTCAACACAAAAAGACAAAATATACCACAGCGCCAACACAAACAGACAATATATACCACAACGTCAACACACAAGTTCAAAATATACCACAGCATCAACACAAAAAGTCAATATATACCACACCGTCAACACACAAGTACAAAATAAACCACAGCGTCAACACAAAAAGTCATCATATACCACACCGTCAACACAAACAGACAACATATAACACAGCGTCATCACAAACAGACAATACATACCACAGCGCCAACAAAAAAAGACAAAATATACTACAGCGTCAACACAAAAGTACCAAATATACCACAGCGCCAACAGAAACAGACAATATATGCCACACCGTCAACACAAACAGGAAATACATACCACAGCGCCAACAAAAACAGACAAAATATAACAGAGCGTAAACATAAACAGACAATTATACCCAGCGTCAACACAAATAGACAATATATAACAGAGCGACAACATAAACAGACAATAAAAAACACAGCGTCAACATAAAAAGACAATATATACCACCCCGTCAACACAAACAGGAAATACATACCACAGCGCCAACAAACAGGTACAAAATAAACAGACAATATATACCATAGCGTCAACACAAAACAGACAATATATGCCACACCGTCAACACCAACAGACAATATATAACAGAGCGGCAACATAAACAGACAATTATACCCAGCGTCAACACAAACAAACAATATATACCACACTGTCAACACAAACAGAGAATATATAACACAGCGGCAACACAAAAAGACAATATATAACAGAGCGGCAACATAAACAGACAATTATATCACAGCGTCAACACACAAGTTCAAAATATACCACAACGTCAATACAAACAGAAAATATATAACACAGCATCAAAACAAAAAGACAATATATACAACACACAAGTACAAAACATACAAAAGCATCAACACAAAAAGTCAATATATATCACACCGTCAACACACAAGAACAAAATAAACCACAGCGTACACAAAAAGACAAAATATACAACAGCGCCAACAAACAGGTACAAAATAAACAGACAATTATACCGCAGCGTCAACACAAATAGACAATATATAACACACCGTCAACACAAAAAGTCAATATATACCACAGCTTCAACACAAACAGACAGTATATAACACAGCGTCAACAGAAACAGACAATATATCCCACACCGTCAACACGAACAGACAATATATATCACACCGTCAACACACAAGTTCAAAATATGCCACAGCATCAACACACAAGTACAAAATATCCCGCAACGTCAACTAACAAGTACAAGATATCCCACAACGTCAACACAAAAAGTCAATATATACCACACGTCAACACAAACAGGCAATATATAACACAGCGTCATCACAAACAGACAATAATACCACAGCGTCAATACACATCAACAAAATACACCACAGCGTCAATACAAACAGAAAATATATAACACAGCATCAACACACAAGTACCAAATATAACACACCGTCAACACAAACAGGCAATATATACCACACCCTCAACACAAACAGACGATATATAACACAGAGTCAACACAAACAGAGAATATATAACACAGCATCAACACAAACAGACGATATATAACACAGAGTCAACACAAAAAGTCAGCATATACCACACCGTCAACGCACAAGTACAAAATAAACCACAGCGTACACAAAAAGACAATATACCACAACGTCAACACACACAGACAATATATACTTCAGCGTCAACACAAATAGACAATATATAAAACAGCGGCAACACAAAAAGACAATATATAACACATCGTCAACACAAACAGGAAATACATACCACAGCGCCAACAAAAAAAGACAAAATATACAACAACGTCAACACAAACAGGCAATATATAACACAGAGTCACCACAAACAGACAATAAATAACACAGCGTCAAAACAAACAGACAATATCTAACACAGCGTCAACCCAAACAGACAATATACACCACACCGTCAACACCAACAGACAATATATAAAACATCGTCACCATAAACAGACAATATATGCCACACCGTCAACACACAAGAACAAAATAAACCACAGCGTACACAAAAAGACAATTTATACCACACCGTCAACACAAAAAGATAATATATACCACAACGACAACACAAAAAGACAAAATATACGACAGCGTCAACACAACCAGACAATATATAACAGAGCGACAACATAAACAGACAAGTATACCACAGCGTCAACACAGACAGACAATATATAACAGAGCGTCAACATAAACAGACAATTATACCACAGCGTCAACACAAAAAGACAATATATACCACAACGTCAACACAAACAGACAATATATACCACAACGTCAACACAAAAAGACAAAATATACCACAGCGTCAACACAAAAAGACAATATATACCACAGCGTCAACACAAAAAGACAATATATACCACACCGTCAACACAAAAAGACAATATATACCACAGCGTCAACACAAAAAGACAAAATATACCACAGCGCCAACAAAAAAAGACAAACTATCCCACAGCGTCAACACAAACAGACAATATATACCACAGCGTCAACACAAACAGACAATATTAACCACAGCGTCAACACAAAAAGACAATATATACCACACCGTCAACACAAAAAGACAATATATACCACACCGTCAACACAAAAAGACAATATATACCACAGCGTCAACACAAAAAAATCAATGTATACCATATCTTTTGGATAAGCTGTTATTAGAATAAGCAGTATAATGTGGTTGGGTGTTGGCGTTAAGGGTATATGAGAGGGCGTGTATGCGTGGTAATAAAGTTAATCTGTTCATTACTGTACAGTACATTTAAACGATGATTGTCATCAAAGGCGTCTACATTGGTACGGTAATGATAAAAATATAAACAGTTATATGGTAACACGAGTTTCGCGATCTCCACAGATTGTCCGCAGAGTGGCAGGAATCCGTCACGGTAACAAAGAAAACTGTAGATACCAGATACTCGCATACATATCCGCAATAATTAAATGAACATTTAGTACAAAATCACCAAGCGAAAAAACAATTATCTAGTAATGTATTTGGAATTCAACGACAAACAAACAATATAAACAAATAAACACTATTACAGTATGTCACTGTATTGTGTATCGGCCCTATACACAATGACGTCTGATTAGTACTGTCCGATTACCGTCATTCTCAAGGGCAATCCGATAATCATGTTACGTGGGGCGTTAAAACAAACAGACGAACCAGTTACTAGAATTCACAGAATAACGCATTGTGTTGAAGTATCACATTGGATTATAAGATTAACATTTGCTATTAAATTAATTCTGTAATAGTGGTCTGTCCTGAATGGATGTGACGATGCTTGATCTGGTTGGTACAGAAAATGGCGACAAAAATGGACAAACCGAAATTGATTCTTTTAGGAATTCTTCAAAATATTGATATGTTTTCACCTTTTATTGGCTTGGTTTGGTTTTATTTTGATATACGTCCTTTTAACAGTTAAGTTCATTTAAGGATGTGCCTCCGTGTATGTTGTGTATGCGTGCAGCGGTCAGTATATAGTTGATGTTTAGCTCACCACAATCAAAGTGGTGAGTTAAACGTCAATATTACTGACCGCTATAGATACCTGGGAGTTTGCTCTACGAAATTCCTTGACGTGTCAAACAATATTTTCAAACAAAATTCAATTGCGACCACACATCATTATCACTGAACGAGTCACTTATCGAAAGAGTCCATTTTATAAAGCAGCAATTTATGCACAGCAAATCTAAAACCTTTCCTGCAGTTTCTATATTGGAACAGGGAACAATCATGGTTTGTAACATCTCAACGCGAGGCAACCCTGAATGGAAACCTTGTAAATGTTAACCAAAAGGACATAATAGTTTGCCGAATGTGGCTCATGTAAAATGTATCGCTGGCAACTAAATTAAGATTCCTCCGAAAGTTGTCCTTAACTGGTTACAGATGGTCAGCTGAAGTTGGGAGAACCGCATCCTTAATATTTTCGGCAATATTTTGCTAAGTTGGTTATTTTAAAATGATATAACACATTGCAAGAATTTATGAATTGTATACATAGAACAAGACAAGCAACTACACAGATCCTTATACATTGACCTTTGTATCATGGATTTTGGCAAGATTTAGCTACAGCCTGAAAGTCGTAAACCAATCATAGAAACTGGTCGGTATTCTCGTCCCATTGTGCTTGATACACAATGTACAATACAGAAGTCGGTGGTTTTTCTTCTAGAGTGCATTTTTTGACACCTTCTGAATCGATTTTGTTTTGTTTTTTATTGTTTAAATATTTTGCATAAACTGAATATTGTAATGAACGAAATTAATTGACAATATGTTTAAGTAAGTACAATCCACAATCCACATCTATATACTCGTTAATCTAAGCCTGTATTACCTGGTTGTAAGTGCAAGGCGTACTTTAATAACTGTGCTATACATATTCCCTTTACGAAGGCCGTGTGAGGAACCATTAACCTTATCTTACATGTCATCGTCTCTAATTAATTATTAATATTCCAATTAATCGCTAATTATGTAAATCTAGGAGTGATTAACGATGATTGCATTTAATTTCAATCCTTGAACTATACCACGTATAACGGTACTATGTACATATATGCACTAAGCAAATGTCAACTGCTTGACAAATTTACAACATACATAATGACATAATGATGTATTTTATAAAATATTATAACCGGAACAATAGTGTGATGTTCTGTCTAAATCCATAATTATGTATCTGGAGAGAAGATTTAAAGACTGGTTAGCTTAACAACTCATGAATGTAAATTCTCAAACAGCGATTTTTGAAAATTTTGAATCTCTGTGCTAATACTTGCGTTTTGAATTTCAGTTAAAGAGAATATGCTACATTATTTTTGTTTGTTAAATTGTCGTTAAACTAACCAGGCTTTTAACATCCGAGCCCAACAAATAACATATTTAAACTAAATGAAAGTTTAATTCAAAACGTAAATAAGTATCGCTGAATTGTATTATAGGTCGTACATATCAATGTATTCCGAATTATTCTGACGTTTTATCGACTTTTCTTTTATATCGGTCTGGCGTCGATATAAAAAAAGCCGATAAAACGTCAGAATAGTTCGGACTAATATCAGTGGTACCGTAGAACCACGTATGTTCGGACAACCTCGACTTTGAGACACATCAATCTGGAGTAACTCACTTGTCAAGGAACACAAAAGAGGTATTCAGAAATGGGTCATGACAGTCCAGGGTAGGATTACAGTATTTCCAATACATACAGGTACTTAGGTAATCTTTTGACATAATAAAAGTCAGTGTGAACCAGTACAGAACTATACGCAAACGTCAGCACACTATACAAGAAACGTTTTTTGTTTTTTTCCACGATCGCTAATTTTCGTTTCAACAATGGTAACATAATTCTCCCAATCTGCGTACGAAGTGTACCTATCATGGTTGATACACGGGCGCTGAGATTGTTCTCATCAGAATGTTTCGGGTGGATATTTCCTGTTGATCAATAAATTACGTAACCAAGGTTTTCTACAACAGAAGCTTGAATTTACGCTGCCAAGACAAGCATACAGCCGTCGCAGATTTCCTGATATTAGATTTCGTCAGTATCTGCCACGATTACAAACTTGTTCATTGTGTCTTAGACAGTCAATTACCAACATGTGTTATACATTCTTATAACAAAAACTTAATATCTAATATGAATCTTGACTGGCATGAAGACACATCGTACAACAATAACCTTTCTTGTGTCTTGATGCAATGCTAGTGGTTGCGTTAACGAAGGTAAACAAAGTCTGACCACATTTGTTCTCTAAGAATAGGAGGCGTCTCCGTGAGTAAATAACGCGTCTGGTCAAGTTTGCAGATTTGAGTGATAATAATGTTCATGCACTTTTTGTTTCAGAAAAATACTGCAATACTGGCTGTCGAATAAAATGAATCTTCGCAAATACATCATTGATGAAAAGCACAAAAACAGTTTCTTCATTTGACTTTTCAGACTATAATTTCAAACTAAAGCAACTTTACCTTCATAAATTCCTCATTTTCCCCCCTTTGACAATATTCTAAGACAAGAAGACGACATCCCTAGTCAAGCAGCGCTATTCCAAGGAGTGGAGTAGACGATATCCCAAGTCAAGCAGACGCTATTCCAAGTGGAGCAGGCGATATTCTAAGTCAATCAGAGGTATATGTAGACCGCCTGTTAAAGAACACCGAAACGATATATTACAGTCATGTCTCGCTAGGATACCCGCATTTATAATCGGATCCCTACGAATTCGTATAAAAAGTCCCCATTCGATCTCGCCTATCCTCTTGAATAGCCTCTCTGTGGCCAACCCACTAATCCCTCTTCAATACTTCTGGCCGATATTTTAAATATATTACTCCATGTTTCCAATTAGTGATTATAAGTCGGCCGTCTAGGCACCTCAGTTCCCCTCATTTACAATACCGTCACTTGTAAAGTTAATCAGATCAAACAAGCTTGCTTTCATGGGTGCTTTCTGATTGATAAACACCGTCAGTCGAGAGGGTAGTTTACGTGTGAACGCATATGATAGCATTACATTTTTACTGTCGTAAACATCTTTTACATGTGTTATTAAACTGTAAATAGCTTAACCTGATACATAAGTGAACGAGTTCCATGAAAAGAATCAAATCTCATACAATCTTTACGATGTAGAATATCTAACTGATGCAATCAAAAATGTCTCAAGAAATCAAAACACTTGTATGTATTAACCGAGAAAAAGCAGACTTACTGTACACACCGTCAAAGAACCAATCACTGTTTTCTCGTTGCGATAAAACAACGCATGGAAATGAAAAATACTTCACAAAGTTTCTTATTATAATCTATTGATTTTTTAGTGTACCTTCCTGACTCCGGATCGGTCCATTTGACGTCGGCACATGGAAGCAAATAAATAGAGATTATTGACAAGAAACCGCTAATATTAAATATGAAATACCTATTCTCTATTTGGTCATGACGTCACAATACCAAATCAATAAAGTACCACATTCTAGGGTCGATATCAAGTTTTATCGAAGTAACATAATGCCAATTGGATCGATCAAGTGTAAGAAAAATGTTATAAAAATATATATATAATATACAGGTTAGAATAATGCAAAGGAATGTATCATGTAACACGAACTCTTAAATATACATCATATTATATTACTTTCAACTTACAGATCCCGTACGAACTGTGTTGTTGTATATGACCTGAACATTTCACAACCCCATTTCCTGCTCCCTGTGCTGAATTTCTCCAAATGTCTTCCAACAATAATATCATGGTTCGATCCGCAGAACATGACCGATCCAGTTGCCATCTGCGACTCTTATGATGTTTGTGACGGAGTCCATTTTAACAATCCTGTGCAGATCTTGTTGGACAGAATATCCTCAATATTGTCTCTATCCTTCTGACTGATATATTCCAACACTCTGATCCATATAACATATTCCGATACCTTTCAGAACAGGTTGGTATCCTTTGCGTCCGCGATACGACCGTTGATGTCTGTCGTTGGACTCTGCTTGGCTGCAAGTAGGGCGTAAGAATTGTACCTGCTGCCCCCATCGCACGATCGTAAAAGGCGACTAAATTTGGGATCTTATCTTTTCTCTTCTTTCTAAACAACTTTCTTCTTCCTAATGTCTCCCTTGACATGCCTCACTTTTGACCTTTAGTTGAGCGTTCGCCCCTGTGAGGAAGGCTTTGGGTTCTGTCCGCTGGCAGAGACACACCAGAGTCTCTAAAAATGGTAGTTCTATTTCTGCTTAGCGCTCAGCATTTTGGAAGTGCAACAAATGGTTCGCCCATTGTCAGTATAATGTGACCGGGTAAGGTGTCCTGCTGGATGTCTTCGGCAGTATGCTTCAGTGAGGTAGCACTATAAAGTCGACCTCAGTTTTGCACATACCGCAGCCTCCCAAAAGACAGGCATACACTACACGCATGCATCTCGCACACAGGGGAGGCCTTCTTAAACGACCATAGCTGTTGATAGGACGTTAAACAATACTAAACCAAACCAAACCAAACCAGCTGTCTATAACGGAACAAAAGTATATGATGCCAATTGCTCTCCTCATTCTTGTTTTTCACTGGTTGAGGTTGATTGCCGTACCCTTGGTTTCCCTCGTGTTAATGACAAGTTCTGTCCTTGCATCACTACTTTTCAGGCCACTCATCCTTGAGGATCCCCGCCGTACCACTGCCAAAACCGGTAACTAAGTATTGGAAACTGCTTTTCCTGCATAACTATGCTTTTGATGAGCCATTTCTGAACAGAAAATCATACATTTTTGCGGGAGTTTTATGAGAAGTGATAAAGATGAACTAAACAAAAGTGTTCCGAGTGTAAAAATTGAGCCTGGCTACGTCGGGATTCGAACCATGGACGTCAGATTGTTATATATACTATCGCTATTACCGATTTAGCTATCTGATCAACGGAGCTGTCTTGGCCAAACTGTGCTACAGTAAATATCCAAGCTTAATTTAAGGGGAGGTTTCTATATATAGAAAAATCAACATAGCAGAGGGACAGGGATCCTTAAGGTTTTCAATTATTTGACATAAGACTAGATCATATGCAAAGACCGTATCCCAAAGAGTAACTATCCATGCACAGTCTTCACTGTACATAATCGATGACAAGGTTTAGGGATGCAGACATCTCACAGGCTTACCTTACTTCCGTCTCATTTTGAAACCGTCATTCAAACTATTATGAAGAAATTTGCTTTTGCCACCTCGATACTCTAGGTTTTGTTCTCATTTACGTTATCTATACCCCTGCAATACGTTATAGCTAAATTGAAGGCACACGGTTAGCCATTTGATTGGTTTTGGGTAAAAAAAAAGGGTCCTGATCAATCAATATGCTAATACCTGTCCTTTGAAAATTACAGAGGAGCGACACTCGAATTCAAAGTCTGTCAACTTTACCGTTATGCTGCCGGGCGACTCTTTAAATGTATATCAAAGGATCAAACTAGTCTACAGGTGGCGCGTGTACATGTAGAGCCTTCGATTTTGCCATGACATATCTGAGGGGTGCAGAAAAACGTATCCCCAGGAATTTGAGTATAATAGAACATCTAAATATAGAAAATTAATCTCTGTGCGTATCTCCTATGGGTAAAAAAATATATTATGACTTCATCTTGGGATTAATGTCCTAACCAACAAACGTCAAATAGCGATTAAATATGCCTGCAAAACTCAGTTAAAATATTTCCAGGGAAATCAATTAATATAAGATGTCGTAGACCTGGTACTCAATTAAAAAAGGATTCCTTTGCCTCCAATAACTACCAAGAGGCTTAAGCGCCAGTATCGTGCACCTGCAACTTAAACTAATCATGACAAAGTGTTTTTATAAATAGAATTTCAAATATTTCACTTCGGGCTAGGTTTGGACCCGGTAGTATGGTTGTTTCTCTTTACATGACTAGCACTTGTGTTAATGATTTTATAGTGGGAATCTCCAGTTTCATTAATATGACCCAGAGCCTTTCAAGCAACCTGGGGCAAAGCTGACCAAGGGACCACTCAAGGTAGCATGATTGTGTTCATCTCTTCATACCCAGCAATTGCATACATGGTTATAGGGTTGGGAATCTCAACTGTTTCAATGTTATTACCTAGGGACTAAGTCATGATGGACAGGGCCAATCCTAGTAGCATGATCGGGCTTGTTTCTTCCAGCAAAATAATTGTACATATTATTAAGGATTCTGGATCGCTACCATGGGTGGGACTGGAAACTAAGCCTGACCTTAGTGTTTATCTCTTAAAGCCATAGTTTTAGGGTGGGGATCTTGGTCATTTCTTAGACATGATGCAAGGACCGAGACTTGAAGGTGGGGCTGGAACCCAGAGCAAATCCTAGTAGCATGGATGTATTTGTCTCTTTGTAGTACCATGTGTGCTTTTATGTATTTGGGATCTTGATCGATTTAAGGTAGAACAGAAGGCAGTTTATCTAAAAAAAATCTATTGTAATATACAAACCCCAAGGGTATGATCAACTTGATCTATTGATTTTTCAAACGAAATATGGTGGCAATCTCTGAAATCATTTTCTTCTGCATTTGGGACATTTGGTAAACTAAAATTGATCTCCAGCCCAATTGCAATACATGTACTTGGGATCTCTGTCTTTAGTCTTTTCCCCAACCTACTCATTCTTTTTCAGCAATATATACCTAGTCACTTCTGTTTAGTCAGAAAAATGTGAATGGGTGGTGTGTTATGTTCCAGGTTATAATGTTTCTGTAACATGGCATATTGCATGGTTTCTTCATCTGGGGTCTCCACCTTCATATGACCTTAATCAATGCGAAGATGCAAAACCCTGACCAATTGAACGGATTAAGTTTCCAGAAGTTCTGTTTTTGCATTAATTTTGAGTTGAACTTTGAACACTACATGTGATCTACTTGATGCTGCAAGAATTTCCTTAAACTTTGTATTTTAGACAAGTCTTGCATATCACAAATAACAAATGAAAAGCTTCATGTAAAACTTGAAGCATTTTAATGGGGGTAAAGTTCACTTTTTGAAGAAACAGATTCTGATTCTTCAAATTCAATGTCAATACAGAATTTTTGTCCTTCTGATACCAATAAGTACAACTTCAACTGTTACAGCTGATATTTTACAAAAGTCACATTACTCCAAATCTTCATGTAGATGTTTCAGTAAATTCACATAAATCCATTCCTCAATGTAGATGTTTCAGTAAATTCACATAAATCCATTCCTCCATGTTGTAATTTTTGTAAATTCACATGAATCAATCACTATATTATTGTGTTATTATATATCTATGTAAATATTCCAGTAAATTCACATGAATCAATCGTACATAGATGCTACAGTAAATTCAAATGAATTCATCCTTCAATGTAGATGCATACTTCAGTATTGTTCGTGAATTCATCTCTACATTTATATTTTAGTAAAAATAAAATTTAGGAATCCATTTCCATCTTGATATCTCAGCAAATTCACATGAACCTATCTGTCGGTGTTTTTGTTAACAAACACATTCTAATGTGTAACGGTCTGTAATCTTCCGACTATAACCAATGTATCAGCAATTTTAATTTTCCAAGGAAATCCAAGAATTATGAATTTCACCAGATGCTGTAGATTTCCTTCTTTGATGTGGAGCAGTCAATAACTCAGGAACAGGTAACAGTCAATCTCAGACTCTGAAAATGAAAAGTGAGGTTTGGAAAAATATATTTCAAAGAGAGTACAAAATTGTCTCCATTGCGTCTATTTTACCCTGCCTTTTGAAATTATACTTTATGTTAATATCATACAAATTCAAAGATTTTTTAACAGTGCACTGTGTTTGCCCCATCGTTCAAGGGTAAATAATAATATAATACAACCCGATTAGTGTATGAAAACAACGAATCCTTATCATTTTAGTGTGATGACCAGCCCAATGTTGTTTGACGTATCAGTGATGATGAGCTTGCTCACTTCAAAAACCTATGTTATTTGCATATTTAATAAATGAATTTTTCGTTTTTGTTTTTTGTTTTATTATACCAGTTAAAAATATTAACTCATGCGATACATACGTTACATATTCTTCACTTGTGTTTCACACTTGTAAAATGAAGTATTTATCTCACTCGATGAAATACTAGTGGTATTCATCAAGACTCATCATTTTAAAGTAGAAATGATGCTACCTGAAAGCAATTGAAGAAAATACAAAAATGAATTTGAAAATTTTACATCCAAACACAGTTGCTTACTTTTTCACAATTTGGACCACATCTTCGTCATTTAGAATATGATCCTTTCCAACTTTCTGAGGTTGATGCCTTACTGATGATCCCCACACCAATGCACTGGAAAAAAGGTCAATAATTAAAATCTGACAATATCACGGGACGGTCTGAAGCATTAGACAGCATTTCACAACAGATGTGTGCTAACGATCAGGGTTTTGGATCAACTATATGGTTAATTCTACGTTATGTATGTCCATGTGAAATGGAAAAAATCAGAGTAGGTAAAATTCTTGAAGAAAAATACCCAATAGTATGTTTCAAAATGGTTATTATTTTTAAAATTATAAAATTTGTTTATCAATGGAGTAGTGTACATCATAAAACCCTCCTCACATGACCCTGGCTGTTGTAAGGGTGTTAAACCCCAAACAAACATCGTCAAATCTATATCTACAAAAAAAACCTCATTCTCTTTGAAAAGTTTCATAATGTTGCATAAGAGTAAAACTCATACAAGCCAGTGAGAGATAACAGAGTTGTTTCCCTTTAATGTCAGATCTAGCTAACAGGGGAAATAACTTACTATTTGAATTCTTTCAGTAAACTTCTGTGGAGTTTGTTGGCAAATTCTTCAATTGAACTCTTCCCATCTTTTAAAACAACTGGCGAGGTGTAATCTGGCAACTGTCCTTTAGGTTTGGTGTATCTGTGGGAAACCAAAAATATCAAGTTAAAAAGTTGTGGGTTTATAAACTGTAATATATAAAGACAGTTTAGTATGTTAGTGAATTTTTGTAATAAAATATGAAGTTTAGTTTGGTTTGGTCTGGTTTGTTTGTGTTTTATGTCCTTTTAACATCTAGGGTCATTTAAGGACGGACAGGTTTTGGTGGTGGAGGAAAACCGGAGTTTCCAAAGAAAAAACCTTCGACCAACGGCCAGTAGCTGGCGACTGCCCCACATAGGTGGAGGGCTAGTGGTAGCAGAATGTCAGACACTTTAACCACTTGGCCTTGTGGCATATAAAGCATTATGACTATTTTTTTCTAGATTCAAGATAGTCTTTAACTTTCCAATAATAATATAATCTTATATTATGTGGAAGGTAGGTCACAAAATAGCAAAAAATAGTGGTGTTTCAACCTAAAATTTACAACAGCCTGTTTCTACATGAACTGGGAAAATATAACATGTTTTTCATTGAATTTAGGAAGATATTCCTCATTTTCCTTCATTTTGGGAAAATAAAGTGCTTTCAACCAGGGGAAGTGGCCTGTATTCAGCTAGGCAAAACAAATCACATCAATTTTTGATAAAGACTAAGACTGTAAGAAGCTAGTTCCAAGGTCCACTCAAAGCAGTTCACAAATTATTATCCGTGATCATACAGCCGGTGCTGCCATTTCGGTGTTCACAGCTAGCATTCAACAATTCTAGCACTGCCCAACCACATACTCATTTACAGCTGAGTAGACTGGAACAAGCGGAGTAAAGTATCTTGCTCAAAGATACAACACAGTGCCATGATGTGACTCGAACCCGCAACCCTTCAGTCACGAGCCCCACGTCCTACCACTAGACTACCGTGCCTCACAGGCTTACTTTTAGTCAAATGAATATCACCTGTAATGCTGTAAAGGTAATCTATGGTTGTGATGACATGTATTGATGATACATGCTAAGGTAAAGGTAAATCCTCCACCCTCGTTATTTTGAAAGTAGACCCGTCCTACAGAGAATTCCTATTATTTTTACTATAATTTGGAATATTCTGCATAAATTTTATTTTCTTAATTGTGAAATAACGTAAGAGTACAAATAAATAATTGTTGTGTCACTGATGACCCTAATGTAATGATGTCTAGAAACAGTACTAACATTCTGGTAAGGCCGAGGTAGTTCCACATCTTCTCCAGGAGGTCGTCAAAGTTCCACTTGTGATGGGCTGATATCGGCACACAGTGAGGTATTTTGTAAATAACTTCTAACTCCTGATTTTAAACAGAAAAACACTAAATAAGTATAAAATATATTTTAGGATTTGTATATTTTCCGTATCAATGGAAATCATTGTACTAATGGTTTTCTCATAAATAAATATGGAGGCTCATAATGTAAATTTGAAGGAAATTCAACACCCCTTTATTTCATAGATAACTGATTACAGTGACCTCAAAAGTCAAAACCTGATGATTGATAAAATGAAATATTTGAAGTTATTGATTATAAAACAAGAATTTCACAAGAGTGGATGTGTCGCCTGCTCAGCACTTTTAGTGAGAAAAGTGTTTTAGCTTGAGTTATTGCGTAAACAAGCAAAAATTACACAAAACAATGAACAGCATTGCTATGTCAAGTATGATATGCCAGAACGCGGAAAGTTGAAACTCGACAGAAAAACTTGTAATATATGTTGAACATTATTGCTTCTAGCATTACCGCATAAAATTTGAAAGAAATTGATTAAAAAGTAAAAAAGTTCTTGCATTTACTACACAATACCCTTATTTGACAATAAAAGGGGCATAACTCCACAAATAAATGCATGTTAACTTCTGAAATGTGAACTTGTCCAAGCTTTATTGGTATGCAATATGTGTACCAAGTTTGAGTTCAATCAACCCAAGGGAACTCAATTTATCGCACTGAAACCTTGTTTTGGACGACGTATACGACGCCGACGACAAAGTAATACCTATATGTCGCCTCGCATTGCAGGTCACACAATAAAATTATCATTCAATTCTGTACGTTATCATCTTAAATGAGACTCAAACAAACTCGAAAACATCTGTAAGTCATAAATATACCCTGGAGGGGATTGACCTATAAAGGCGAGGGGATTGACCTATAAATGCGACAGTGACCTTGGCATTGACCTTGGAACTCTGAAACACAAACTCATTTAGGGTATTGTCATACCTGACCATCGTTGAAACTTAAATGATTTTTGTTGAAAGAAATAAAGTTGGTAGAGTCCTGACAATAAATCATGAGGTGATGAGACCAGACGTGAAGTTAGGGGATTGGACTGGAGATAAAAATAGGGGATGGGACCGGACATAAAGTTAGGGGATGGGACTGGATGTAAAGTTAGGGGATGGGACTGGAGATAAAAATAGGGGATGGGACCGGACATAAAGTTAGGGGATGGGACTGGAGGTAAAGTTAAGAAGAGCTCTTTTTGTTGTATATTCACCTCAATGGAAATTTGGTCTATTTTGTTGAGCAGGTATATGCAGGGGATGTAGACCCGATTTCCTTCTATCATATCAATGAGTTCTTCTGACGTGGAATCAACTCGGAGGACAATGTCGGCATTGTGGATCTTATATTCGTTCAGAATTGTCTTTACTAAATCAAGGTCCAACTCACTCTGTGTAACCTGTAGCATCAAGATAAATAAACAATATATTTGAGCATGTGTATACTAAAGCCTATTACAGTGTAGTGATAAATCTGGTGCCTGAGACATTACAGTAAGTGAGTAACTATTGTACCAGTTCATTACAACTGCTTTACCTGAATGTCAAATCTTTTTAACTTGAAATAGAAAAGTTTTTTTTTTTGGCTAAAACCAGTGGCAACAGTTCTGTGTTTGATGATTATATTAAATTATCCAATATGAATTTTCAAATAATAAAATTCAAATATTTCTTGAAAAATATATATTAAAATTTATGTAAGTTTTTAGTGAAGCGAACAAGTACAAATGAGGCTTTGCACCAGATAGTTTACTTACCAATGTTTGCAAGTTGATGCCTCCTTTATCCTTCCTCTTGAATCCAATTTGTGGTGGTTCCTTGTTGAGTCGGATACCAAACCCCTCCAATTCCTTTTCTATAAGGTTTTTGTGTTGTAAAGGTTTCAGCACATCAAGTACTATAAAAATTAACCCTGCTGTTCTGGCAACTGAAAATTGAAAAAAAAATGAAACCTTTTAATAAACATTGGTTTGGTTTGTTTGTGTGTTACTTCCTTTTTACAGCTACGGTCATTTAAGGACATGCAATGTTTTGGTGGTGGAGGAAAGGCGGAGTTCCCGGAGAAAAACCACTGACCTCAGTCAGTACCCGACGACTGCTCCGGGCCACATTGGTCTCGAACCTGCGACCTAGTGATGGAGGGCTAGTGATAGCAGAATGTCAGTTGCTTTAACCACTTGGCCACTATGGTCCCCTTAAGCTGTTTTACAAACACAAACATTCTAAAAAGATTGTTGGGAATGTCAGTAACGGCAGTGAGAAAACAAAGATATTTATAAATTCCTGATTCTAAGAACTTACCGGCTATCACCTGTTTTCCTCGACCTTTTCCGTCTTTAGCACCTTCAATAATACCAGGCAAATCCAGCAGCTTGAAATAAGACATAAAATCAAGAAATTCAGAGCAGCAATATTCATATTTCATTTAAAGATAAGGATGCAAGTTTATCTCATTTCCATTATTTTATATGTAAATAAAAATAAAACAGTTTCCATTTTCCTTTCTAAAAATAAATATCATTTAATGGTATTATGACTGATCCTTCGAAGGGTTATGTCTAAATATTTCAATTTCAGTCTCTGTTTTCAAATTTGCCCCAATTCGACTACGAGTAGTCTCCCTTTGACTGTAACACACAGAAGAAAACAGGAGTGACCAAAGAGTTGCTAAACGTTCTTTTAATTATAGTGCTCCCAGAAAATTGTATATGTAGCTGACATGTAAAGAGATCTTCCAATTCAAAGGTTGGAATCGTTCATTATGATATTTCAGGGGTAAATGAGCTAAAGAGATCCTATATATCAAATAATGACAACAAAACAATATCTGATATAGTAAACTTCAATTTTATGGAGAAGACGTCCTTCATCGCACCGTGCAAGGGTGGGAGGCTACTAATGTGGTGCTTCTTGTAGAATAAGTTCTTATTGTCGACACATTGTAAAGACCAAAACTGATCTACTGCCATTATAGCAACATATATGACCTCTTTTTTTTTTTAATCTTTTCTTTAAGTGATGTCTCACCAGGCATCCCTGTAAAGCCAAATATGTAAGAATAATATAACCCGGAAGGATGTCATTATTTCGAAGTTGTGACTTTTGCAACATCCCTGCTTCCCTTACCTACGGCGTTTACATGTGGCAGTTAATTCAGTACTCAATATCCATGACTGATGTTGATTGCTGATGGACAAACTTATAACACAGGGTTTCCATGAATGATGTTGATTGCTGACGGACAAATTATAACACAGGGTTTCCATGACTGATGTTAATTGCTGACGGACAAACTTATAACACAGGGTTTCAAAAGGTTGATGGAGACTATGGACAAGTTTAATGGTCACCATCAGGATGTCACCGAGAAATAGGCTAAATCTCTATTTTTTCCCAATATGTTCATTCGAGTTCCTTGTGGTTTTGTTGTCACTACCAGAGTTCTCGATGTGAGGACGTAACATTACTTGGATTCGACTTAGATTTACATGGCGGGTGTCATCGAAGAAGCAGAAGACGTTTACCCTCCCGAAACATCTGGTCTTAATCTCCGCACACTTTTTCAAGGGTGTCTCTGTAAATTTTACTTTTATTCATATTTTGCCCTAGTTTTATTGATTTTGAGTTTGAATTATGGTTTTGTTGACACTTCAGTGTTCTTTAGACCTTTCATCCCTATGTAACTTTAGTAAACTCTTCCATGCATTGATCTGGATGAGTCCGTAATGGTCTACAGTGGTGAAAGGGTTATTCTTGCTGGAAAATTCTATCCGACCCATGGGTTAAGATCGCTTACACGCGCAGACTGGTGGGGGAATTATAGTGACCTTTCGGAGTCTAGCTATTGTTGGTGACATCATTTTATGACGTTTTGGGGTCAGTCAGGGTCATTGACATCACTAACAATTGCCATCCGGGCTTCATATGCAAATGAGAAATGTGCGGACAGTTTACAACTTTACTAGAAGAGCAGCTGTTTTTACGGGTTTTAGGTAATAAGCAAGAAATAGAATCAATCCCTGATGTGAGGTATGGATAAAGTAATTCAAACCCTTGGGGAAAAAATATTGAACAAAATACCCTCGGCAAAGCCTCGGGTCTCCTGCTCAATATTTTATCCCTTGGGTTTGAATAAAATTATCCATACCTCACATCAGGGATGGATTCTTTTAATCTTGTTGGTTTTTTTTCGGAGTGTATGACACCTTAAATTGGCCCCTAATTATTTCGGTCATCATGTTAAGTGAACATCACTGTCGTCAGTGTCATTCATCCTAAGCTGTTGTGAAGACATAAAACTCGAACAAACAAAGTCAAAAACAAACTCCTGGTAACTTACCTGTACTTTGGCTCCTTTGTACCTGATGACACCAGGTACTGTTGTAAGTGTGGTGAACTCATAGGCAGCCACTTCTGAATAAACTCCAGCCAGGTTACTAAGTAGGGTTGACTTACCCACGGATGGGAACCCTGTAATACATATAATACTACAGTCAAAGTCATACAGATTTATCCATGGAGGGGATCTCTGTAATACATTATTTACTACAGTCAAAGTCATATAGAGTTATCCACGGAGGGGAACTCTGTAATACATTATTTACTACAGTCAAAGTCATACAGATTTATTCATGGAGGGGAACTCTGTAATACATTATTTACTACAGTCTAAGTCCTATAGAGTTATCCACGGAGGGGAACTCTGTAATACATTATTTACTACAGTCAAAGTCCTATAGAGTTATCCATTTAGGGGAACCCTATAATGTATACATATTCAGTATTCCCAGAAACCCCTAATGAGGGTTTCTTCCTCTCACAAGCAGGTAGGTACACTCAGTTTTTAAGAATTGCCCTATATAGCAAACGTCCTGAGGGTACAGAATCTTAAAAATATATAACATCCCAAAATCCAAAATTCATGGTATACTAAAAATCAATGTCACAGTAGAATTATCCATAGAGAGAAATCATGTAATGATTTTTTACTACAGTCACCGTAGGGTTACTAGGAAATGGGATATTTTTTAACTTAATTTCTATATTCTCTGCAAATAACAAATAACTAAGTTTAAACATATTTTATTGCCATATAAACAAAAGTATTGGGCACAAATTACAAGCACAGTATGAGTGCCCATTTTTCAAATCACTTGTCCTTCAAATATGCGGAATTACTATCAGGCCAAATAAAAAAAAATGTGTTTCCACTAACCCTAAAAATATTTGTTAAAACAAAATGTGTTACCTACCTACCCTTAATGGGTTTTTTGTCTGGCCCTACCTATCCTAGATTTGTTTGTGCCTACCATAAAGGTTTTATTGGCATTTAGTTATATGCACAGTTAAAGTCAGAACTCCTGCTCTATATAAGCATAGTAAAAATATTTTCCAAAAATAAAAAAATGCCTACCTACCTAACCTATTTTTTCTGAGGATGATAGCAGAAAGTAAGAAACACAAGTAATTCTCTTTTTTTGCCTCAACCTTCAATGTCACAAGGGAGGATGACCATACCTACAAATCCTATCCTGGCATCTCCAGTCTTGGCCACATCGAATCCCTCCCCTGCTCCTCCACCACCTCCTTTAGGCTCAATTAGCTCTCGTCGTAGTTTGGCAAGCCGAGCCTTCAGCAAACCTAAATGACCCATAGTAGCTTTGTTTTTCTGGGTCCGATTCATCTAAAATGACAGAAATTGGTAAAGTCATCAAAATTTTACAATGTATCACCATTCAATCAGTGAGGTGTGAAGCACATATCTGAAGAGGAAGATTTTCATGTTAAAAAACACTCAGAAAGCCATGCTTGGCAACTATTAAAAAACATCCCTTTAAAAATAAGCCAATCTGTTTAAAAATAAATCAGGAGAGAACCTTGCTCTATGTTTGGTTTCTCATCTTGCCATATAACTTGAAATTTGGTAGCCATTTAGGAGAAGTAGTTTTTTATTCAAGAAAAATGTTGAAGTCGGACAGATTGAATGAAGGACCACATACAGTTACATAAGTTCAACTTTGTATTTCAGACCCGATGAGGTAATTTTAAGTTCGGCAAATTTTGTATTTAAAATATTGAGGAGTGAACAAATACGTAAAATTTCTCTGCTGATTATCGCTGGCAAGTGAAATTCAGTAAAATGACACTCACTAACACATATGGCAATGCTTGTTGATAGTATAATGCTGATTTGAATTCACAAAACATGGCTTTTAGTTTTAAAATGTATCTAGTGTAACAATAGCAATACTGTATTCATGATCGTTTTTAATATGAAAGCCCCCCCCCCCCCCTTTCCTGGTTTCAATATTTCACCACATGTGCATGAAGTCTTGTAATTGATTTGTCAAATTTCTGCGTCACTGTTATGGATTTTATGTATCGTTGGTAAAATATCATTAAGTACCTCGGCCTCAATCTCGGCGATCTTTTCCAAGATACCCATCTTTACTTATTTTCTTCTGCCTTTTCACCAAAAACGTGCAATGTTGGCTCTCAAAATGACCCGGAAGCATTTCTCCTTGACTAAACCGGAAATACATATACAAAATTCAAGTTTTCGTATTTCTTTTTATCATTTCTAGATTTTAAGACAAAATAATACATTACTACTTCATTAGTGAATATATTTATGATTCAAATGAAGTGAATAAAGAATGTACGCTTCCTAAAACCAGTAATATTTATGCAAATTTAGCGGCGACAAAGGTCAGACATGTGATGCGCATGCCAATATCCTGGCATTTTCAGCATTTTCCGATGTTGTGCTGCAGCCGTTCAAATTATACGTATTCACTGTTGTCTAGAAATATTTTCATAATGACCTTTCGCATATTTTACAGACTTATTGTCGTGTTGTGAACATAGCTTTGTAAATACTGTATCCTATAGCCTATATTCGATAGACCTTTCGAGGACCAATATAACGTTGTCTTTTCGTATCAACTTGTACAGTAGTAGGTGAAGGTAAAGGTGAGTCTGTCGTCCATGTTTTCATGTTTTGCTTCATTAGCATTGTCATACTCCACAGTTTCATCGCCAGTATCCATTCTGTTGCACGTATTTGAAAGTTAAAGTTACATAATCCATAACTTTATATGTTAAATGTTTGTAAATAACAATTGCATGTACATTTCATTATGCATTTTTATCACTAAGCATATAATTATTTATCGGAGTTTGTCATTTTTTGTACTGCAGCAAAAAGCAAAAGATTTTAAAATACGATGGCATTAACGTCCAAACTTAAGCTGATATTCAGAAGGTGCATTGACTAGAAAAATTGAATGCATACACAAACATTAAAATAACGCTCAGTATTAGAATATAGTACAAAAGGTGGGATAATATTTGAAAATTAACATCTTTTATTTACATTTTCAAAATAGGTCATTGTGACCAATATTTTCTTTACAGGGATGATAAAGTTTTAATGATGATACAGTTAAATATGTAACGAAATGATGGTGAGTTTTCCCCCCCAATATTCATCAGATGTAGGCGGTAAATAATCATTTTTAATCATGAATGACTTTTTTTCACTGATTTAGCAATACCAGCACAACAAACATACCTAAGGTGACAGTTCCCAAATCGGATCACTAAACCATCATTTTATTAAATTATTGAATAATTTGAGGAGGAATTATATTCATTTATGGTTGTATCAAAGGAAGAATATCTTATGGGTGTTCTTACAAACGACATTAGCACCCGAGGCCCACTTGAGATATTATTTATGGAACGCTATAGATCTGAAGTCACCAATCCGCATCTCCAGTTTTTGCGATTGTCAGGACCCAAATCGGATCAAGGCTAGGATTTTGCAGTATCTTACGCCTCAAATGCATATTATTTTGTCAGCATATTAACATTTTGTGATTACCTTTAAAATTTATGTGACAAAAAGTATTTCTATAGTGTGAATTTATTCCTATAGTCCAAAAACAATGCATAGTCGTTGCACTCACCATTTTTTTTAAACGTGATCAAAACACTGACATTTGAGTTTGAATTACGTTTTCTTGTGCTATTTGAATTTCAAAACTAATCATCTGTTGACAAAAAATGGTGCATGGCTATCTTTTCTAAGACTACATAAGTGTTTATGTTATAACTGATTTGTTGACACATTTATTTGTTTATTAGTAATTTTGCAAAAAGTTATCCGATTTGGGTACTGATCCGATTTGGGTACTGCCTCCTTACTTGTTATCGTACAGGGCCACTTATTGTGAATATGAGCCATTGTTCTGTGCACATGTGTTTTCCTGGCCTCTCCTGGGATTTCAATGTTTAAAGAAATATATGTAAAAGTGGTTCGACTGTGTCTGCTTGCTAGCATCAATATTTATGAAATCCAGACATAATATGACCACATGTATCCTTATCAAAGGGAAGTTTACCAGTACCTAAAGCCAGGGGGATCCAAATTGTCACTTTAACTGAACGTCAACTAATTCAGACTGAAATGAAAAGCCATATCGGATGCTTGTGTAGACATTCATTACAGGGAAATCACTGAAACAATTGAATTTAAATACTGACAAGGACAATCAAGAGTAATGATGTTTATGTATGATATATTTGCATTGTTATAAACTTGGAAAAAAATACAAAAAAAAAGGACAATCAATTTGGGAATGAAAATGAAAAGAAAAACAAGGAAGTATTGCTATCAGACTAAGATACTTCCTTTATTACTACAAAATGGAGACTGCATGTCCTCTTGTGAAAAATATTGATGGCCCTTCTCAAAGTCTGAGAGCCCTGATGAGCATAATTACTTTTTGGACACCACCCAAGCCTGTAAAGTCATAGTGCTGGTGCCAAAAAGCATGAAGCCAAAGCTAGGGAGCTGGGGATATGCATCCCCTGGAAAGCATTGACATTTAGAATATCTGTTGTCAATGCCAATTGTTAAGTATATGTTAGTACTGGACCCTGTACCCCTGTACATGTGCCGAAATGAGTTTTAGCAATTCTGACCTACAAAAAGCACCCTCTTTCAGCACACCTCGGTCTACATATATGGAAAAAGAAACTGAACAAGAAATGGTGATCATAACTTCTATTTTCAAGAAAAGCTTGAATATTTCAGGTAGATGAGACAGGATATCAATAGATAAAATGAATGATATTTTCTGTGTTTTATGACAAAAAAACAAACATCTTTTTAAAAAAAAAAAAAAGTGACCTTCCCAGGGCTTATACATCCAAACAGGCTGCTCATGTGTTGCAAGGATATAAAAGATGTATCATTAGTTAGGTAAAAAAAAATATATAAATAAATGAACATACATACTGGACAAAATTATTTTAACAAAACTCAAAGGCTATTAATTTAGGAACTGTCCCATCCCAATTCTAGTTGAAATGGTGGTTATGTATCCCATTGTACCTGCTGCCCCCAATTGCATGATCGTAAGAGGCGACTAAATTTGGGACCTTATCTCTTCTCTCCTTTCTAAACAACTTTCTTCTTCCTAATGTCTCCCTTGACAATGCCTCACTTTTGGCCATTTGTTGAGCGTTCGCCCCTGTGAGGAAGGCTTTGGGTTCTGTCCCCTGGCCGAGACATACCAAAGTCTTTAAAAATGGTAGTTTCTAATCCTGCTTAACGCTCAGCAAATTAGGAGTGGGACGACTGGTTCGCCCGTTGTCAGTATAATGTGACCGGGTGGGGCTTCCTGCTGGGTGTCTTCGGCAGTATGTCTCAGTGAGGTAGCACTATAAAGTCGGCATCAGTTCCGCGCTATCACAAGGAGACAAACACGAACATATCGCAGCCTCCCAAAATGCACACATACACTACACGCATGCATCTTGCACACAGGGGAGGCCGTCCTTAAATGACCTTCGCTGTTAATAGGACGTTAAACAAAATCAAACAAACAAACAAATGTATCCCATAGTATCAATTGATGAATTTTGGTCAAAAGCCAATTTGTTAAGAGCAAAAATGATGGTTTAAAACACAACATATTTAAACATCATATACATACATATATCCCTAAAGCTAGCTCCTGAAAGGCCACGAAGGACTGAAGATACTAGATAGGGGGCAGGAGTACCTACTGAATTTAGTCTCCTTTCAATTAGAACCCAATTTCAAGAAAAGCGTATTCCATCTTGGAAAATGCAACTTTACCTTGTAATTTGTAGGTAAATTTTCCCAGTCGCTGTATTTATCAATTCACAATAACTGGTCCTCCTGTGTGTGATTGAAATGACCAACAGTGGGTATTCAATTTAAGTCTTTATCATGAACAAGTATTTAATATGAATAAAGATTACAATGTTTTTGTTAATAAGGTAGAATAGACTTCAAAAACCCTGGAGAAAATGTAGCTAAAATTCCTACTGTAAAATATCAAAAAAAAAATTCTGTTCAATGAGTTGTTGTGACATCTAGGACATTTCTCCCGTCAGTACATTTTTTGGGTACTCCTCTGATTTGGGTTCACGGACATTGAGTTACACACTTTTTGTATGAGACAATTGTGGTGTCATTGCATACCATAGTATGGTATGATACCATCCCAAGTATGAAATGTGTATGATATTGCATTTGGAGCCTGTTTTCAAGAACTATTTGCTGCTGCAGACAGTCATAAAAATTTCACATAATTGCATTGGTAGCCTGTGCAAAAAGTTGTATTTTCATTGTTTGGTTTCTACAACAGCTCAACAAGCTGAGTAAAACTAAAATGTGTTACAAAATGGTAAAAAAAAAATGGATAATAAGTAATGACCAAAAGATAGAAAATGAAATGTTGATAGCTGAAGCTGAATGCATATCGGACATGAATAGTTATAATTTCTTATTGCAGAGATTAATTGTACATAGAGAACCTAGACTTTACAATGGATCCCGACAGTTCCAGTGACAGTAACAGGGACACACCCAAGGACCTGGGTGAGGTCATTACCCGTCCTGACACTCCGGGACCCATGCCTACCTACCATTACCCTAGGGTAAGTTCTCGTCTAGGTGAATTAAAAAGAACCTGCAAACTTGTAGATCTACAATATGTTTTACGCTGTTATCTCATAAAGTTTAATGCATCACTTTAACTTTGGCAAAGTTTAAAAATAATTCGAACAATTTGCAAAACAACTGAAACTCTTAAGTGGTTCCCGTATAGCTCTGTCTTAACTGAAAATTTGGTACCTTTCTCTGTTTCTTTCTAGAAATCTAAGCTATTGATACTAGAAATTGTTATGCAACAGTTTGATTGACATTTTACTAAAATTGAGCATTAATGCACTGTGATAACTTATACATACATGTACAGTAAGTAGTAAGACAGTTTAGCAGCAATATCTTGTACTAAATGTACATAAAAAGTCTGTTTTGTTAAATTTATTTATTGACAAGCAATAATTAAATCATGTTCACTTACTATTTTTATTTTAATATCTATTTTAGCTTTGTAACTCTTCTGTTTTGCAGGACACACTTATCGAGCTTCAGTTCTGTCCTTTATCTAAGAAGAGGCCATCTTGTCTGTCAGATGAATTTAACACGTATGTATATGACTCAGATACTCCAAAATATAGAAGATAAAAAATTCCAAAAGTATTAGAAGAAATAGAAAGTAATTATTCCTTCTTTGCTTATTGCAGAGTTATCTTCTCTCATGAGCAGGTATTGATTGTTATGTCATTGGTTTGTGAGAGTAACGTCATAAATTTTTGAGAAAACGATGAACTTTCTCACACAAACCAATGACGTAACAATCAATCCCTGCTCACAAGAGAAGATAACTCTGCAATACGCAAAGACGGATTAGCACAGTTTGTATGAAGTCATAAGCATAGTTTGTATTAAGTCATATAAAATCAGATTTCTGCTGCTTATTGTACTCGGGGTATGTGAATTTAAGTTTTTATTTGTCTTTTAAAGCCTTGATGGATTGTGGGACCCTGACAGGTGGTCAAGATCATTTGACACATCACGCAACAACTCCCCACTAACTGTGGGCGATCGTGACAAAAAACGCATGGAGATACAGATCGAGAGAGACTACTTGATGAGGAGGAGACCATCCGGTTGGTATATAAAGATAATTATAAAAAAAATACTTAAATAATAATTGACCAATTCCGACCATCACACTTGTACAGGGCTTAATCTTTGTTATTGTTAATTTTGTAAATTATATCAAATATATATTCAAAACAAAGGAAAGAAGAAAGGTCATAGTGTTACATTTTTTCTGAAAATGAAATATTTTGAAGTGTTAATTTTTCATGTCTTATTTTTTGCTTTTGTCATTTTTTTTTCATAAAATGGGCCCTGTGAATTCAACTTTTCTTGTTTAACTCATTCACCCCTGAAATTCATAATGGAGTATTCCAACCTTTGAATTGGGAGAGTTCAAATGTGTCTTCATGGGTGAATGAGTCGATTAATCAACACTTGCTTTTTGAATTATGGGGACTGGTTATTGCATGTTTTATAACAAAATTAGTCAGTATCAGAATGACAGGAGTTATGAATGCTTTGTTAGCAGATCCTAAAGAACGACTGAAAGAGGAAAAAGATGGAATAGTTTTGAGTCCACAACGAAGAAGCTTTGGTACTGGCTGTCATGTTTCACAGCCAACTTTGACTCGTCAGATGAGTTGCCCATCTGATTTCAAGGATGGAAATGACAGAGATAGGTATGAAGATTTCTACCTCTTCTAATGTACAAATTTGTATATGGTTTTATGAGATATTTCACTGTGATATTTTTGAAAACATTATGAAGAAAGAAGAAGTATGTTTTTTTTCTATTTAGTTTATTTAGTATTTTATTGTTTTTTAAATGAAAATCTACATAACAGTTAACATGGTGCTTGCCCAATGTCATGTCCTAAATTACTCTTGATTAAACCCTACACTTAATTGCTGCTTCAGGCAGTCCTCAAGAAATTGCAGTTTTCCGACCGACTCATGAAAAAAGCATCTACTTGGAACTTTCTTTATTTCTGAAAAATCACTGATACTTACATCTTTTATATAGAAATTTGTGATTTCTGAAAATTTGAAAAGAAAACCCACCTACCTACTGCAAAATATTCAAATAGGGAAGTGGCAAATAATGTTTAAGAATGACCTCAGTATCTGCCATTCCATAAAGGTAGAAAAAGGTATGCATCTTATAAAATTGTTTTAAAAAGCTACATTTGTTTAAAACATGTATATTCAAAACAGGAAGACTTAACTAATTACATGAAACCTTAAACATTTGTTAGTCCGATAACTGTTTTCAATTTTGTAATGAGTTTATTGAAATTATGCAGAGGACCAAGGAGAATTGGAAGTGGACGCATCCAGCTAGACCGTGATCGGGGAGAGGTGACGCGGGAACGGGTAGGAGGGGAGAGAGACTTTCGTGCTATCCGGGATAGGTTTGACCGCGATGATCGAGACCGGGACCGGCGTTATGATCGTGAGTGGGACAGAGATGGACGTGACAGTCGTGACAGTCGTGATCCCAGGGACCGTGGTTTCAGGAGGGAGTTTGAGGACAGAGATAATCGGGTAAGATAAACGTCTGTCTTGATTTAGATCTAGGTTAGCTACGAAATGTGTGCTGCAGTAAATCATAGTAATATGAACTGTCTACTCGATGAAAAAAGAGAGGTTATGAGGATGAGCAAGTAAAGAAAAACAATGTGGATTATAAAGCTTGGGATTTAATAGTCTGTTCCAGTTTTAGGAACACAGACTGATATGTGTTTAAGTTGATTATTAAACACAAGTTTGAGTTAACATGTTCCAAGTTGTATTATTTCTACATCATGTAAGATGTAAGTTTAGGAATCGATTTTTTTTCTTCAAATTTTCATCCTTAAATGACCATAGCTGTTAATAGGACGTTAAACAATACTAAACCAAACCAATTCTTCAATTAATCAAATCTACTTCAGCAACTGGTTTTTTTTTCCAAAATATTTTTTAATGTTATTTGCAGAGGGACTTTGGAAATCGACATTACAATTCAAGAGATTGTAAGTATATGCTTCCGTTTCATTTAATGGTACAGTCAATACATTTTTGGAAATTTGAATTAATTTGGTTGATAAGCAGGATGACGTGATTATCTTATAATGGTAAATTTAAAAGACACTTTATCTTGATTTCGAAAGTATACAACAATTTTGTTAAAAGTAAGTAGTAAAGAACAGGAATCATTCTTGTCTTGAAAATCTTCTTAGATAGTAAATAGAGCCTACAATGTATATATACATTGATATTGGTGACGTTATCAGAAAATATACTACACGTTGGAGGCTCATCATTTACAGCTGGGCGACGGAGAGACTATCGTCATGAGGATGAGCCTGAATGGTTTACAGAAGGTCCTAGTAGTCAGTTGGATACCATTGAGCTCCGGGGCTTTGAGCGTGAGAAGGAAAAGGAGACTCCTCACAGGATAAAGGAGATCGCAGAAGAGGGAGATGCTGATGTGAGTGCCACAGAAGGACACAAAACTGGTGGTGAGTAGATCAAATGGTTTGTTATTGAAAACTCTTTGAACATTTCCTGTGAAATAGATAATATTTGAGGATAAAACAAAACGTTTTGAGGTAATACAAAGTCATATGCTTTTATTTCAACATATTGATGCTTAACTTAATGTGAAAATGTATAAGAAATATTACACAATTCATATGTAGAAAATGACACTGAATTGCATGTTGGGTCATTTGCATTTATAACTTATTATTATCATTTGTTGCCAGTGGCTGATGTGACGGACAGAAATGGGAGCCTTGAGACAAATGAACCCAGCTCACCTGAAGAGTCGAACCACTCTGACAGCATGCAAACCACCAGTCCTCATGGCAACATCTTTGACTTCAATGAGTTCTTTAAGATTGACAACCTACCTGGTTTGAATGTAAGCAAGAACATTCATGTCTAACAGATATTTCTAGTGATTAAATATATTTAATGAAAATAGGGAGAGGAGAAAGAAATGTAAAAAAATGTCTTAAATGTATTTATTAGGTGTAAGTTAAGTGTATTGTGAGTGTAACATGAAAAGAGCACCTTTCGTTTATTCATTGATGCAAGTATATGAAGTTGTACTGTAGCACTCATTTAACCATTCACCCCCTGAAGTCACATTTGAACCTTACCAAATCAAAGACTGGGCAATTCCAGTTTAAATATGTAGGGGTGAATGAGTTAACTGTGCTCTAGTTGTCCACTCAGTAGCTGCTCCTCTCTGTTAGTCTGTAACTGCGACTACTATTTTATTGTAGCAAGAAGGTCCAATTCCCAGTGCTGACATTCCTGTAGTACAGAGTCGATTCAGTCAGTGGTTCGGACCTAAACCTGGTGGCAGTCATAACAGTAGCAGGCACAACAGTCGACACAACAGCCATCACAACAGCAGGCACAACAGTAGACGCTCCTCCTTGAATGATGATTTCGGTTACATAGTTAACGGTAAGGATTTTGTTACATGGGTAACGGTAAGGACCAAGGTTACATATTTAGGACTTCGCATCATGCTGTCTGTCTGTTTGCTTACAGCATGATATCTTTCGAAGGAAAGGTCAGAAGTTGATAAAACTTCACTGATGTAGTACTTATCCATGTCCCCCTCTCAGGTTCGATGATCAACATATATTTAATGAGGATGTTGCATTCTGATTTGCTGATTGCTATCTGCGTGATATCTTCTGAAGGAATCTCTTAATTTTGATAAAAGTTGCTTGATATACTAATATCAAAGATTATTACTTGGGTTTGATGTTTGTCATATTCCGAGCATATTTAAGGTATCTGCTGCATTCTTAATGGTTGTTTGCTTTCCGACAATATCTTGCAACAGAATGGACAGGTTTTGATTAAACTTGGCTGATGTACTACTTACTCAAGTCCCTCGCTCAAGTTTGATAGTTGGCGGTTACTGTGCATATTAAATGAGTCTGCTTTATTCTGATTGGCTGATTGCTGTCTGTGTGATATCTCCTGAAAGAATAATCTAATTCTGATTGAATTTGCTTGATATACTTGTATCCAGGATTCTCACTCGGGTTTGATGTTTGTCATATTTGGAGCATGTTTAACAAGTCTGCTGCATTCTAATTAGTTGATTGCTTTCTGCACAATATCTTATGATATTTTCCAAAAAAAATCAATTTTCAAAAGGCCATGTGACAATAAATTCTGTGTCCATTTGTATTACAGATCTTCTTGGTGGAACACGAAGTCCTAATGTTTCCTCCCCTCCGCCTGACCAGCCCATCCTATTTGACCAGTCGGTGTTTTCACCAGCCAACAGCACTTTCGCAGACAAACCTCAACATCACAGCATCGACTTCACAGGACTACCGAACAAAGATGCCATTGCTCCTATACTGAGCAATATATTCCAGAATAGCATTGAGAAACATCATATGGGAAGCAGTAAGTTTGCAAAAAATAGTGCAATGAGATTTGGTCATTACAAACTTGGATAATTTGAATGACAACGTTTTTCTCAATTAGGTATCTTTTATGATTTAAATGACTTTGTTGTTGCAGATTCTAGTGTATATGCCACAATGAATCATGAATCATAAATATGCAAATTCAAAATAAAATGTATTTCCAGAAATACCAAAATCCTAACAGTAGTTCTAAGCAAATGCCACACAGAATAAAAGTCAAGTCTTGTACACAAGTTATAGGTGATGGACTGAGCATCAGTTAAAATGGCAGAAATAAGGTTCAACAAATAACATATAAATAACGGAGTTTGTCTCTGTACTACAGCTAGCAGCAACTTTAGCACCCAAGATGCAGAGATCCAGCTAAAGGCCTTGCTGTTTGGGAAGAAAGACTCTACTCCAAGTAGTGGTACAGCTAGTCCAGGCATGGGTTCCCCTCTCAGTGAGTACACTTGTCTTGTAGCCAACACTAATAGGACTTTACACATTGAACTAAGGAACATATTATAACACCGGTACAGTGTTTGTGCTGCATATTTCATCAATGGGGCCCTTTAAAAGTAAAGAGTCTTTTTGCAGTTTGAATGGAGAAGTTTTAAATGCTTTTTTCAAAAAGATATAGCGATGATGAAACTTTCTTGATGTGAAATCACATTTAACTAAGAAGGACAAGAACCAATACCTAGATATATCAATTGTAGAAGAATCACTTTGTCCCATTACATAAGAATATTTATGACACTTACAGATCTACCTGGACGAGCAAAGACTGTGGCAGAGTTGGAGGCTGACATGAACCAGCGGTCCAGTCGGTTACCAGCACGCTGCTTCACACCACCTCAGCAGCCAGTCCCACCCCCAGATATTGGCATGGTGCAGAATTTCCAGCGGCAGCAACCACCACCACCACCACAGCAGCATGTACCGCTGCAGTTTCAGCAAACACCTGAACAACACAATCAACAGCAATACCAGTCACCTCCACAGCATAATCAGCAGATGCCGCCACACCACCAGCTTTCCCAGCAACAGCAGATGTCGCCACACCACCAGCTTTCCCAGCAACAGCAGATGTCGCCACAGGAGATGCAACATCAGATACACCAACACATGCAACAACAGATGTCACATCAGATGCAGTCTCAGCCAATGATGCCTCAGCAGATGCAGCCTCCGATGATGACGCCCCAGCAGATACAGGCCCACCTGGCACAGCAACAGCAACAGCAACAGCAACACCCACAGCAACACCCACCCATGCCACAGGTGTCCATCCATCAGAGTCCCCACTCCACGCCTCGTGGAAGTCAGGACGAGGGGGATCTCACTGCATTCAACAAGCTGCTGAGTCTGATGAAGGCAGGAGCTGCAGCTGCTGTGGAATCGCCACCAAAGATGGCGGTATTTATCTTTATCTTAAGTTCTTAGTACTTTTAATCATCTGTGTTTCAAATATGCATATCAATGCCATTTCATAAAGAGAGTCTTGACGTGAATTCAATTTTTCACAAATGATCATTAAAATGCAAGATGTTATTATTTTTAATGGTAAATTGAAATACTACAATGTTGTATATCATTTACACCAGAATGAGGATTTCTTACTTGTATTTCTCCCATGGAATAAAGGTCTATTGCAGTATAGCAGTATATTATAGTGTTATTTAGGTGAGGCTTTCAAATTTGTGCTATTTCTTAAAGAGGGAAGCCTTTATCACAAAAAAAACCTAGGGCCTTGTGCAATAGGGAAAGATCTAGATTGCAAATAACAGTGTAATAAATAACTGTTACAGGTTGGGAGACCAGGATCACAAACAGTATCCCCACCCCCACACCTAGTGCAGCAGGCTCCTGCCCCTATGCCACACCCTTCCATGCCCCCATTGACCAACTCTCAGGCTGCTGCTGCAGCTGCTCAGAATGAGTTTTTCCAGGTGAGAATTCTGTCTCCCCATGCTAGCAGTTGGGCAACATTGTATTTGTGTTGTTGTTCACACTAGCTGTTTAAACAATAGCTGCTGTACTTTGGGATGATAAAGATGCTTGGGTTTGCATTGCATAGATATGTACCAACAATTTAACGTAATTTGTGACGGTCATTGAGTAAGGCCAAAAAAAATGATAACTTTGTTCTCAGGCCCGCGCGCATTTTATTTTAGGGTACCGCATTGCCGATTTTATCGTGAAAGTAATAAAAAACAACAACGTGAATGCGCAAGCTGCCGTCTTTCAAAAAACCCGGAAAATGGTCCGCATGAAGGTTAATGTGTTGTATATAAAAAGCTGTTTTATTTTACAGGCATTGCAGAGGAACAAGGAACAGCAGCTCCAGATCAGACACCAGACCATGAACCAGATGAGGATACAGAAACCCCTGATCCCCCAACAGCTTCAGACTCCTCCCGCTCAGATGTCTCAACCACAGGGTAACCAGAACAACAACGCACAGCCAGTCAATGACCCCATAATCAACTTCATTAAGCAGAACCCCACCATCATCACCAAGCCTGCTTCACCGACTCCCCCTCCCCAGGGCACCCCCCAACCACCCCAGAGTGTATCCTCCATGATGGGAATGATGCAGACCACATCCACCCCACGTGCTCCCTCTCCATCGGCTGGTCTGATGGGACAGAACCTGCTGTCGCAGCCTCCCTCATCACCACGCATTGCTTCACCCATAAGTAAGTATGCCTCCTGTCAACTGCTTTACCTTCCACAAACCCTTTCAGCATGCTTTTGTCGCACCTTTATGGAATCCTCTCTGCAGGAACTAGGTTTCCAAATTGTGAATTTCTTTAAAAAAAGAATTTTTTTAAACAAAATTTTATAGATTACAGCATATGTTAGTGTTGGAAATTGAAAAATAGATGGTGAAAAAAAACCCACCCAAAAAGCTAAAAAAAATAATAATAGGTATTTTGGAAAATTTGATCCATTTCTTGCCTTAAACAACAGTTTTATCTGTTTTTACAGCCTGACTTTAAGTGATCAGTCATATCTGATTTTCTGTTTGAACCCCGAACTTTACTGAAGCACTGCCATTTCTAACCAAATAAATCTGCCCCCCCTTTATGAAATTGAAGTCAGGTTTCACTGTAAAATTGTTTTTGAGAAAAAAACTAGTGTTAGTTTTGATACTGTAAAGGTATTAGACTGTGTGTGGTTGTAAGGTGCTGTGGTGTGTTTGTTACCCTGGTGGCTATACTATAGCATGGTTATCTTACACTCTCACCATAGACCTTAGGTATCACATAGATTTACTAGGACAAATTGCATGGAGGATATCCTACAATACTGAGGAAACAAGGGCTGCTTTTCTGTAAAATGTTGAAATCAATATCTTGTTGCGAAACAAGCAAGAAGAAAATGCTTTGATGAGTAGTCTTTTTGAAAGGATTTTAAGTGGACAAAATTAATTGGTTCTTATGTCACTGTAAAAAATCTGATGCTTATGATTATTATTGCCAAACATAACGCATAGTTGTTGAGATAACCATCACATTTTGCACCCAAACCATATCCGCTAGGATGTTGTTTCAGATAATATATATATCGGGGTGCAGAATGATTGATACTTATATTATTCTTCAATAGCTTACAATTTGGGAATTGAAAATGAACAATAAGTAAACAACATGCGCTGAAACTTCAATGAAGTCATTAGGTTTAATAACAAAAAAAATCTAAAAGTTCCAGCATGACAAAAGATAATTGGCGATCACAGACTGATGAAATATTTAGGAAAACAGCCCTGGGGTCTGTAGTTATAGAGCATATGCGGAAATTGAACTCATAGTTTTTCATATTCTTTCTAAACACATAGGTGGTAGGGCAGTATTGACATCTATATCAAAAGCAACTATTTTATATAATGACTTTGTATAGAAGCTTAGATAAAGTTTTGCTTAGAAACCTAAGTGACCTGATGTAAATTTTGAGTCAAAGGTATTAAGAAGTTTATATGACATCAGTAACTTTCGAGTTGGTAAATTTGTATAAAAGTTTAGAAAGGGATAGCTAGCACTGTGCATACGATTTGCATCTAGTATTTTTTTAATCGTTTTGTTCTTTTGTTTAGTGTTTGTAATTACTTTGTGTACACGTGACATGTTTGTAACATTTTACTTTGTGTACACGTTACTGTGGTTTTGATTCCTTGCTTCAAGCCTAACTCCAGCTGGTATATTGATAGTTTTTTTATAATTGAATGTTATGCCGTTAAAGTAGTGTAGTGATCAGGCGAAGGTTAAGATATCTATTTGATAGAGTTATGTATTTGGAATTATTGGTCTAAATTTACAAAAGCAACCCAAATTCATGTGGTGAAGATGAAATTGTTTCCTTAGATCATTCTCTGTGAACTTCATGGATAAGTTCAAGTCTATGTGCTCTAAATGTTATTGAAATTCTGCAGTGAGGATTTAGTTGAGAAAATTTACTCTCCCATTTATTTGTGATGAAGTACTGATATATAGAAAAAAAATTGGGGTCAAAGGTCAAAAATTAATTAGTGCTGGCATAGGTTTGATACATGGTTAGCAAACACTTAATATATTCTGCATTTGTATTTTCTTTTGTTGTAGTAATTTAATGTATTTTGTGTGGTATGGTGGTTGTAATAATTTGCCCTCGTTGTTTCAGCATCATGTGAGTATGGTTTCTATTAGTCGGTAAAATATGCATGTGACATGAAAACTATTTCCATTGTTGTCACTTTTATTAACAATGTTGCTGTTGAGAAAATGTTTTTCAAAGAGATGCATCTACATTAGGTGCTGACTCATGATCATGACATTGCTGTCAGGTGAAATTGGCTTCAAAACATTGATACAGACATCACAGGATACGTAAAAGTGGATTTTCATGTGATGTGCAGACTATTTTGTGCTTCAGGCTTAACTCTACATTAATATATATAGCAATCAGGTGTGTTCTGGATTAGATCTGAAACAGAAACTGTACATTAAGTTAAAGTACAGGAACACTAGGCTAAGGTAACCGAGGTACTGCTCATTTAATGAAAAATACATTATTTGCTGGAAAAGATCATTAATCATGACAGTTGTATCGATCTGTAGAATGCATATGATTGAAATGATCTTCTTAATGTGGAGAAGCAAATGTGAAATGGAAACTTATGACTTTTTCATATGTTTGAATGGCATGCTGATTGATAACTATAGCAACATTTAGCTGACGGATCATTGTTAACTTGGAGGATATAAGGAAAATTGTACAGTATAAACAGCAGCAGATTATGTGTACACAAGGTTAAGATTATTTGATGGCTAATTTCAACTGGCCTGGGGGTTTGTTTAAGAAAGGATTCAGAACACATGCTTTGATACAGCACATTGGCCTACTAACTGCATAGCTGACCTGAGCTCGCACAGTGTGTGATATAATATGTACTTTATAACTGACCTAACTGGGGCATGTGGGGTAGATCTCTGTATGTGTAGAGGACCTGTACACTTTTATACTCTGATGATAGATCAGCTCCATATACATGTAGATGCTATGCATCAAATTTTTCTCCTCTATTAAGCTTGTTTATATTAACATAAATTTTTGTTACTCATCTCAATTGTGATGTAAAAGTTGCATAAGGTACAGGAAGAAGACCACTGGTATAACTATTTGTGTGTTTGACAAGTTTATTGGACAATTTCAGAACTTCCTTTTGGATGCCTTTGAAATCAAGAAAGTACAAATATGAATAGACAGGAATTGATCATGTCTTTTAAAATGAAATCAAAAGCAATATGGTGGGTTAACTTTGGCCAAGCGCAAGTTGAGATGTGTAGCATATTTTGTCAATATTAATGTGTTTTATTGTTTGTCACTGTTTCGATTCCTTGTTCGATGATTTTCATTTAATACTGAAATGTTCAAGTTAACAGACTGCATACAATTCCGCAGCAGAGTCCTACCCACACTATTACTGTGTGATGTAGGTGTTATGTAATTTTTATTGAATATCATTATTGAACAAATAAAAGCTCTTCAAATCTAGAAAAATGATCGGAAGGAACACCAAGGTGTTTTATTGCAGGAAAAGAAAAGAAGTTGTGGTTATATTGTGATGTAATTTGTTTTGCATTTCAGTGTTTGGCCAGCAGCCACCCATGCATCTCAGTGCACCATCTCCCATCAACCCCTCACAAATGGGCCAGTCAACATCCATCACTGTTCCTGCAGGCTCAACTCTCACAGTAAGTGACATAATTGTTCAGTCTAAAACATGAACAGTTTTCTTTGCAATGTACATTGTTTGACGGTACCAGCAATTGTTATGGTTAAAACAATGAAGGTACTAGCAAGTGTCATGTATAATACAATTCAATAGTGCCAGATACATATAATTCTTTATCTTTAGGAACTGACAATGTTAGATATCGTTTTCAAAGTAAGTTCATTTCAAACATTTAACAATTTGTTTAGCTAACAAAACCTAGAATAGCCAAGGTTATATCAAACTGGATGCTGAGTTGTATTTGTTCGTGTTGTAGTCGACTGCAACAATCCGACCACCTGTGGTACCACGTGTGCCAAGTCCACAGGAGTTGATTGCACACACTCAGGCAATCATGCAGACTGCACTTTTAAAGAAACAACTGGAAGATCAGCGAGAACGCTTTATTAGAAAGCAACAAGACAGGTTAGTTGAAGACCGTAATATAAATGTGGTTGTCATGATTAAACATTAAATTTGGTTGAAGAATCCCAAGGGTGATATATTCGAAACTGTCATATCAGAGGGTAAGAATTCTTTTTCACCTGGCCCCAAGATTACAAAATGTTTAATCTGAAATTAGGATATTTTCAGTGATTGCATAAATATCCAGGTGAGAGATATATATGACTGACATTGGTGCATGGTATACGTTCCGACATGATGTCTTTACTTCTTAACTTCTGTATATGATTTGATTAATTTAAATATGTATCGATTATGATTATTTTTATGATTTTTAGTACCTCATAAGTCAACCAATTATGGCTTGGTATTGATCGCTTTTACTTTGTATATTTTATGATTGCGATCTGTATTTTACTGTCGATCAATGTGTGACACTTAAATAAACTATTATTTATCTTATCTTATTTATCTTATATGCATTATGGACCTCTTTTGATTGTGTACTGTTTTGCCTGACGTTGGATCATTCAGTAATTCAGTTTCTAGTGAACAACATCCATTAGGGTAAGGGGTGGTTATCTTGTAATGTTTAACCCAAAACTATTGTGATATGATTGCCATTAGAAAAGTTTGAATGTGAACAAGATTGAAATATGTATTTGAGGCGCTAGCGCATTGTGTAGTGTATCTTACAGGGCAAAATCCCCCAACCCCATGGTATCGATGAAGTCCGCAGGGCCTAATATTCCCCAGACACCCATCATGTCCATGGCCACATCACAGGCCTGCCAGACTCCCAAGGTATGTACTGATGTAAAGACAGGAATACAGGTATTGAACAGCAATCAATATGTGAAGCCCTTATTATGGGTTGTATGTACATTTCCTAAAAGTGTGATTGTAGTTTGCTTATTATAACATTTACTTTAAATTTTCTATAAGCCCTTAAATTCCCGACAAGCCCGAACGTTTTCGCCAGTTAAACTGATGATGATGTCTTAGTTTTATCAAATCAAATTAGTTGCTATATGGAATATAACCTTTACAAAGTTCACAACAAACCAATTGTGTTTTGCAGCCATCAGTGAGTGCAGCCTTCACGCCGACGTCGGTGATGAAGAAAATGCATTCTGATAAAGCTTCTGAGAAAGAGAAACAACGACAAGATAGTGTAGAAGGTGAAAATGGTAAGTACAATATGTTCGATGATTCCTAATTTATTATATATGGTAAGTAGATACTATAAAGAGTTCAACAGGATCAGTGAAAGAGCTGTAAGAGAGCACAAAATAGTTCAAATAACAGCTAAGTACTGTCACAGATTCAGTGTTTTTTAGGGTATCCAAATATATTTCAGTTTTTCACGTTTCTCGAATATTTGTTCACAACATTAGCATAACAAATTGGTGAAATGTTATCCCCTTGCAGGTTTGTCTTGTCGACCTATCTGGAGGTCCAATCTTAGTCAGATAAGAACATTTTTCTTCTCCCTTTGATTAATAAAAAATCATGTGATGATAGTTACATCTTATTTCTTGATTTGGTGTGATGTTTCTGCACATACATGTTTGCCTTTTTCAGAAAACCTTGGCCCAGTAAAGCAGCTTATTCCGCAGGACACTAGCCATAGTGCTGTAGACAACTTAGAATTTATTCAGAAAATGAACATTGAGCAGCAACAAGCCAAAGAGAACTTGCCAGCCACCATAATGACAAGTATGACAACCCACGGTCATTCCTCATCAATGCCCACACATCAGTATTCGAACCAGGACCTAGGCATCCCTGGTATTAACTCGATAGCAGCGTCACTGGCCAGTCAACACGATGTAGGTACCACCAACTATACTTGTGAAAGTCTATATACAACCCATATTGTGTGTTGCATTGAACTCATTGTAACTTCTACATTTTCAGTCTGTAACCTTGGCCGAACAACTGAGCCAGCTGTCAACGCCCATATCTGTTCAACAGAAACAGCAGCAGGTGCGGGCCCTGATTGGCCAAGGAGGGTTCCAGGGTTCTCCAGGGCAGCCTGTCTCAGTCCCAGTAGCCACCCCAGGCCGACCAATAGTTAAAGGTAGGCACTTAACACTCCCACACTGCCATACCTCACCACTGATATTACAAATATAAACTTTTTGTATGAAGGTAACATTAGTGTCAGAAATATAGGCTTGGTGTATGGAGATAAAGATCTAGGTTGCAAATTCATTTCGTTGTAGGTAAAATATCATATTTTCAGGTACTATTATATTGTATGTCTACTTTTCCAAAGCTTTTGCAAATGACCTGATTACATAAGATGGTTAAAAGTCCACTTTTTACTCTATTACTAAAGCATATAGCTTTTAACTTCAAATCAAATCAAAAATGGGTAATATTTACAGATCAATCTGTATAACATTGACATAATAAGATCATGTTAACAAAATTAGATTACTCCTTTGATGTTACAGCACGTAGGAGACCATTGTTTTGTTCAGGGTTACACACACTTTTGTTGCAGATAGTATTATGGTAGCTCTTGTCATGTGGAGCGGGTAAATGATAGGGTTCTTGCACAGCTTGTTTTCTTTCCCCCAGGCATTACCACCACCATTTCTAGTGCTGTCAACAGTGCAATGACTCCTCCAGTGGGGAGACCCATGATCGGGGTTCCTCGGATGTCCACTCCCCAGCTTCAGAGCAAATCTGTTGAGGGCACTCCCATATCACTGCAGACCCCCTCACAACCCCACCTGCACCGGGCCATCACAGGAGTGGCCAACCCCACTTCTGTCCCACAAGTACAGACCCCAGTAGTCTCCCAGCAGAAACAGTTCAGTGTGTCTCCCAACCCCCTTACAAGGCCCATCCCTCCTATGGGAGCTCAGTATGGCATTCCAATCACGGGTCGGATACCAGTACAGCAGGCCATGTCGCCCAACCCTCTCCTCATGCAGCAGATGATACAGAGTGGGATCTCACCCACAGCAGCAGCAAGAGGTACACTGGGCACCTACATTGTTCTAGAAAAAATATCTTAGCAGTCAAGATGCTTGTAGGCAAATTTGTCATTTTGCCAATGGCAGGTTCCTGTGAAGGTGTTTTGGGGGCACAAAAGTTCAATTGAAATCTTGAAAATTTGTTTTAATTTGAAACCCTGAAGAAGCAACTTAAAAATGAAAGTAAATTTTCCTGATTATCTGCATCCTGATTAAAAAGGAGCCATTCATCTGATTATAACGAAAAAGGTTGCATGTGTCTGGTACATCTCAGAATTTGCATAACTGATATAACAACTGTAGGTAGTATTTACCACTTTAAACACAAGCCACTGTAATAGTATTTACACAATTAGATTCTATCCTCTCAAGTTTACTGCACATGTCACCTTTTACACACCCGATCTAGTGCTTTTGCAATGTAATCTTTTTTTGGTAGCCTCAAATTAAAAACAGCTATTCGGTATGAAAAAGTTGTTTTGACGACATCCGTGAACTTCCCTTGAAAAGTATTTAATTATATGTTTCTGTCCCTTGTAAATAGTGAAAATGAGCTGTTTGTAAAACCTTGTCCTTTCAGTAAATGCATTGAATCAGCTGAACCAGATAAATCACATGAATCACTTGGCCATGCAGCAGCAGCAGCAACCAAGGATCATGGACCCACGCCTTCAGGGGATGAGGGGCGTCTATCCTACAGTTGCAAACCTCACTCCTCGCAGCTCCGTCATTCCCACAAGTCTTGGGGTGCCAGTTCGCACACCCATGGGGGTCAATGTTGCGATTGGACGAACTGTATCGCCACACCCTCCAACACAAAAACGTGAGTTTTGTAATTTAACTGACCGTGCGCCTCCTACCATGGACCACAAATAATGTGCTGTTAAAATATTGCATCATGTTTTGCAATTATCAGATAGGTAAACCACCACAAATAAGTGCTATGATGATTTGTGATTGTCCTACAATAACCAACTGTCCAAGATACAGATTTTTAAATATATAACAAAATAAAGAACAGAGTGGTTTTGTAATGATGCTCCAGGTTGCTCTTTCTTTGTGATTTGTAGGTCAAGGTCAATATAACTATCATTAGAAAATCAGTTTCTGTAAAGGTCATTTGAAAAGAGGTTCCCACATACAATAATTTAAGTTCCATTGAGTTGATCAAACTGAAAATGTATACAGGGTTTCCATGCTTAAATGCTTGCGTGGGTCGAAGGTAAAGGTCACATGCTAAGAATAGATAATTTTTTTGCAATGTCAGTCGATTCAACTCGAAACCTCGTACATGTAAAACTTTGCAGTACATTTGAACTTTTTTTTCTCTCACTACAGTGATAGCAAATCTATCATGACAGCAAATATTTAATTCACAGTATGCCATATATGGTAATAACATGTTAAGGTGGAAATTAACACTATTGATTTTGCCGATGAAGGGTGAATATTTGACTATGTGAAAGTTTCCCAGTATTCTGTTGGGTGCTGCATCAATGTAAACTATAGCTACCAGATAACAGTGATATCTTACCTTCTAACCTTACTAACTTGTTACTTTTCCTGCAGTTATAAATGGACCTGTTTCACCAGGGATCCCCATCCACACATCAATACCAACCAGTCTACTCAATGGAAACAACAACATCAACAAGCAAGACCCCAACCTGGCTAAGTGGTTTGGCACAGATGTTCTCAAACAACAGATGACGTCACTGCCCCCCTTACCCGGCACAGGCCAGAGAATGATGACCTTGGAGGAAATAGAGCGGTGTCAGCAACAAGCAGTCATCAACTGAACACCTGAGGACACTTGTGTAAATGTGGACAGAATTGACAGATCAAGATCGACGAAAACACCAACTTCCTGTTCTGCAATTGTTCCTGTAGAACCTGATACGTTTTAGTGTCGTTTATATGTGGTTTGTATGGAAAGTGATTATGTGTGGATAATTTTGTTGTAGTTTTATCACACTGTCAATTACTGTACAGGATGATTTTTTTTGCCAACAGTGCAGAAATGTGTTTGACAAATATTTTGATCTCATCCCTCCTATAAACTTTATTTGATATGTAAGCCTGGTGTTAACATATAGCAGAGGAGAATTTTTGTCCTACCTATCTCTTGGTTTCAATTAAAGTTAACTTTCGAGAAAAACATTTATAATTTCTTTCACAATCATAAGAGGTAATTTAATGTCTGAATATCATTTCCAGTAATTGACCTAAAATGACCACCTTTCTTTCATGTTATGACAGTGATGCAGATTTGTTCAAGAATAAAAAATATACATTAAGATTTAAGAAAATAGATCAAGAGCTCTTTTGAAAATCATAAATAAAATTGTGTATATTATTTGAAATATAAGACTTGTATCTTTAACTGTTTCTATCACCACACTTATTCCATTCATTAAGTTTAATAGAAAAAAAATAACATGCATATCTTATCACGAACCCTGTTTAAAAATTGGCTTTGTAAAAAGCTGTTACCATTTGTAACTTGTTTTTCATGTACACATCCCATGTGTGATGCCATTATAAATTCATTTAGTGATATAGCGATATCCAAATGTGCCAAGATTTTGACTGCTATTTATGTAAGGGAAGGCAGTCGTACAGATTGTGTATATATAGATGTGGAGGTTGGTGTAGTGCTTGGTATGGGTAGATCCCTGGACGACTGTTGTGTTTGTCGGTAGAATATCACTCGCTGTTTACTTCTGGGTTATATTGTAAGGAAGTTTTAGTGTTATTGTAGTTGGGAAGTGGCTAAATGATTTTTTTTTTTTTTAAGAATTAGTCTGTCGTATAAAACATGGCCTAGAAAGTAAAATGTGTTGATACAACACTCTACCCTCCAGTGTTAGATTTAAACATTTCTAGTGTCAGCAAGTTAAACGTTTTTGACAGGCCTTCAAGTTCTGCTTCAGTATTACGCAAACCTAAAGCACTTGCCATTAAGGCTTTAACATAGCATTCAAATGCAATACAACTTGGTGGTACAGGAAGCAGGTTGGGTTTCTGACATAAGTATTGATACATTTCTATTGCTGGTTTAGACTTGGAAATAAGGTCGATCATTCTCTTGTGCCATAGGTAAAATGACAATTATAATTAGATTGAAAAGGAATACTGTAAAACTAGTATTAAATGTTATACAGTAACTAAAAATAAACGGAAAATCTTGGGTTTGCAACCAACACGTAGCTGTGGCCAGTTATTTGCTTATTCAAAGATGACTCACTCACCTGTTTCATTTTCACAAATATAGACCAGAAAAGCAACTGTTTCCGGTAATGTCTATTTCAGAACTTGAAAAAAATGTATTACAATGCAAGTGTTCTGTCGGCAGTGAAACAGTTGATACAATATACAGGATCATTACATACCGCTGGGTTGACTAACAGCTGGTGGTGATGATATCATAGCAGGGTCGTATGTATATATGTGTACATAAGCTTTTCTCTATTTGCATTGATGTCAGTTTCATGTATAATTTTCATTATGACTATGACAAGTGAATACGTATTTAAATTTGAACGTTGATAGACAACAAAGGAACCCGATAAACATATTAATCCACTGTGTATGTTTTGTTCTATTTTGTTTTCCTTTTGAATGTGTATAGTTATATTTGTGTGTGTAATTATATAAATATGTGAAAGTCTTAGCCGTGTCAAAACGATATATGAAAAAAATTGTTGCTCAGTGTTTTTTTTATATTAACATTTTCCCCCTTTTCTATATTTTATTTATTTTTTCTTTAATGTTTGTAAATAAGTTAATAGAAACACCTTCCTTGTTCCCGTGTTGTACCTACTGTGTAAACATACATTGGACATAAGAATTCACCTTAAAAATGTCTTGAAACTAACACTTTTATCGAAATATATGGGTATTTTCATTAATTCATATTTTTATCTCAACTTGGAAAAGAGTTTTCTTGACCAAGCATACACATTGAAATTAATAGTCAATAAACCTGCCTATGTACAGCCACAAGGAAACAGCCCAGTATTGCTATTTCGTCTAGAATGTAGTGCTCTTCAGTATAGTCTTTATACCTAGTCAGTCATTTAACCGTCACTTGTTTGTTCCCTAGACACCGCCACTTCACCTGTATCACAACTTAGATTTGCCTTTGAAATTGTACATGCTTAATGTTGATATTTGTTTGTGGTTATAAGCAGCATAACAAATTATATATATATATGATTATGAAAAACATATAATTTACTTGAATGAATGATAGTGCTGTTTTGATTGTTAATATTTGATATTTTTTCTCATTTGTTTGTTGATGGGTTTTTTGTACAGTAATATGCACAGCTCTGGGTCCAACCTAGATTTATTGGTGTCATTTTTTCTGGCACTTCATCACTTCTCCATTGTCTTATTGTCGTCGTCGTAGTCGTATTAAAATGGTGCAATGAAAAATTGTTTTGATATGTCCATATATAATATAGTTTTATTTTTCATAGATAGACTTGAATATAGTTGGCCCACATATGCAGTAGTAATGGTTTATGCACTTGAAGTGTGGATGTGTACTGACCACATTCAACAGGAATTGCATACAAGGATACACTTTAAGCTTAGTAGGAAATCTTGAGGACCCTGTCGAAGATCAGCTAAACAGGTTTTTTCTCATCAATAAATAAAGTTTATTATTATTAAATCCTTTTGAGAAAGTCATATATTATAGGACAATGTGTAGCAGGAAATTCTTGTCTCTGATGAATAAAAGGAAAACAAATGCTAGTCATTGTTAAGGTTTATTTTGTACTGCGAGATGTTTTACATTAGGTAAAAAGAAACATGGTTTGGGTTTGCCTCTATACTCTGATGATTTATTAGTCGGATATTCCTGTCTCTGATGGATAGAAAGGAAAAAAAGTTGTCTTATCGTTATTTTATTGGAATGTTAGATGATGTTTAGCATTCAGAAAAAAACAATTTTTGGCTTTGATGTTTAGCATTCAGAAAGAAAAAAATCAGTTTAGGCGTTTATGCTTTGTGGATTTATCATTTTCTTATTTTTATGAATCATGTCAAAGAAATGAGACAACTTTCTCCACAATTCTATGCTACTCAAACATGTTTTGTTGGGATTTTATTTTGTAGGAAGAACTGGGAAGAGTAGATACAATATAGGCGTTGTGGTGGTTAGTACATGTCCACACCTTATAATTCTGTTGTCATGTCATTGCTGTGCCATGCGGCTGCCTCATCACTTCACTGTTAATGTACAACACTTTTTCCTCACACACCAGTAGTACTGGCCTCACCCAGTCACATTAATCATGTTTTTGTTGGAGAAATCAAGTTCAAATGTTTAATGTAATAACTTAATATGCATTCTTACATGTCATTCTGATATTAGGGCTAAATATAAGTAATGTGTAAGTCTGTGTCATCTTGTCCTTGATTGTTAAAATTGTTTCCATCTTGTATTCTTTCTCCACAAAGGTAGTTTTGTTGTTGTTGTTGTTGAACCTTCACTACGTAACCATGGCACCAAGCCTTCCCTTCACCGATCTCCCTCCTTCCAGACCTCGCACCTCAGATTAGTATTATCCTGAGGGTATGTTCCCATGTACAGTACTATTTTGTGTATATATCACGATAATCACAACCCGTGTGGCTGTGAAAGCGAGGCTTGAAGTGCTGTAATCATATTTTTTGTCTTGTTCTGATTAGTAAATATATTTGATGGTTATTTTTGTAAAAAGTTGTAACAAGAATAAGAAATGTTTGACAGAATACTGATATATATACGTGTACAGGTTATGTGATAAATTTTTCTCCGTTTCTACTTCTGCACATTTTTTCTTCAACATTGTAGTGCAGATTTACATATACATGCATGTATAAAATGTTCATGTTCTCTGTGTCTTCATTTATTGTATGAAATTGTCAATAATATGATTTTTATGTTACTCCAACTGGGCCAACGATCACATAGCTATCATATAGTATAGTCACAACTGAAATTCTCCACTTATCACTCATTAATGGTTGGACAAACACATTTTTGTCTGATGATGATATCACATAAATTATGAATTTTGTTTGTGATGTTAGTCGAAAACCAGAAAATGATTGATGACTGGTCATCTTTAACAGCTGTAGTTAATTTGGTTCCAGGTTATGGCAACATTAAGCTAAAAGAGAACCATTCAGGGTATTTGTTAATGTTACTGTGTTAAGCCGTAAGCTCCAAATAAATGCAATGTACATTATGTGATTGGCCAGTGCTGTGGCTCTTTGATCCTTGGCCCAGTTAGATGTTGTTCTATTTTGTGAAGTGCCGACGTGGAACAAGTTCAATAAAATATGAGAGATGTAGTGTAGTGTCCGACAGCTAGGGTGTCAGGTCGTCAGTCAGGGTTCCAACGAGTTGTCTAAGATTTTGTGCGGTGGAAGAATATTTCTGTGGGGTTTGTGAGGATGCGTGTTATATTTTCAGTTTTTTGTCTGAGTTTTGGTGCATCAGTACAAGTTGTTGATTGTTGAGTGTAGAAGTATTGCTACATGTGGTGTGACTGCTGTGAGAGTGCTTAGGTGTGACTGTGTCTAAATGCCAGAGATGTGTACATATTATCTAAATGTGTGGTGGTGTGGCTACGAGATATACTGGTGATACAGATTTTATAGAGGCGTATGAGACTAGTTAGGTTTAACATTACGTGTTGTGAAGACGGTCAAGTCTATATATATAAAAAGTTTATCTTTTACCTTATAAATATCTTGGCTACATTCATGGGGTAATATTCGGTTATTTTGTGAAAATTCATGTGAAACCTTTCTTACCTTTGACACATATTGTTCTTTTTTTATTTTAAAAAGTTGTCAGACTTTTGCAGTATTTTTGTTGTCCCCCCTCCCCTTCCCTTCCCCACAACAAAAGTCTCGTAAAGTAAATGTATTTCTTTTTTAGCCCCAAACTGCTGGACCTGTTTCACAAAGCAGCTGTACCTTCGCTAATGACATATCTTTGTGTTTCAACTCGTCTGTTGTCGGACCAATCGGAGTAGTCTGGTCACAGGCTACTATTATATTGGGTTACGTTGAAATGCAATAACGCTAACATCATGTCAAGTTAAATTTGAAAATAAAATTTAGTGGAAGTATATGTAATAGGCAGTCTTATGTTCTAAACAGTGGAGCATATAGAATGATACCTGATGTAGAAGTGTCATATGGGTAACACTTGTAGGGGAAATTCTTGTGTGAAGCTGAGAGAGGTTGGGTTTGAATTGCCTCATTGATTGGATGTTAATAATTAGAATTTGAGGTTTATCCTGATATAGAAGTATTTAGCAAGAAAGGTTATACGTTGCAGAATCAGGTGGGGGAGTTTTATCTCATCTTAAAAAAGATTAAAAACAAAAAATCAAAATTTTATGGTGGATTGTTTCCAGAAAGTAAGAAAATTAGATCAGATTTAGCAATTATTAGCAGTTGCCTGGACTTGAGTTTCGTCGGAGAGAAAAATAAACAGTATTCCAAATCTTTTGAAAAATCTGTATTGTTGAACATGCAAGTATGTGTAATTGTGATGTGTTTGAAAGGCCACCTGTGAGAGGTGGACAGTGTTGGGCGTGAGTCAATCATGTGCTGGTGCACTAGTGCTAGCGGCTGAGGAGAGCAGCTGTGGGATTATAGAGATTATTATTACACGTTATTTTGAGTTTCACTGTTGTAAGGAGTAAGAATTGATGGCAAAAAAAGTCAGTCTTTATCCTTTTAGACTTTCCTACTACAGTGCAACCTACCGTAATATCAATGGTTTCCTTATCAAAGCTAGAGTTGATTTTGTCAAACTTGTCACTCAGTGCTTTATAAGAAGTCTAAAAATAAATTGTGAAAAAAATGAAACTATTTGTTGATTTTGTTGTGTGTGGACTTCAACAAAATTGTTCAGCATTTTGCACCCGTTCAAATTTTGTGTATGGACAACTACATCTGATACCCTTAAAAATGTATACAGTGTACATTTACTTGTAGCCTAGCTGTAAAGACGGTAATTTGATTGCCAATTCATATATAATTTACACTTTTGTGTGCATATGCTTTACCGGTCATTTGTCTGATGAAGGTGACCGTACATATCATTCACTGGATATGCTTTATGAAGCTGTATACATTTTAAACAGTAAAGTACGGACTTAAAGGATATAGCAACGTTTATGGTTCCCTGAAACCCAAGTCTATTTGGTAAGGAAAAGTTGAGGGAAATGGACCTGGTCGAGGGGAACCTGAAACTTGTATCTAGAAACCCCAAACACTCAAATCTGTATTAAATCACCACCCGAGCGAACATTCAAAACCGGTCGCTTGATATTAGTGGTTGTTTAATAAAATTTAAACATACATGTTGTACAGACTGACTCCTTATTAAGACAACTGACATTTTACTCGGAACAATAGGTTGCCATATGCTTACTAAATTGCTCAAAATTTAACTTTTTAGGTCACCTGAGACAAAGTCTCAAGTGACCTATTGCGATCGCCTTTTGTCGGTCGTCGTCCGTCGT